TGGATGTTTATGGAGGTTGAAGAATTTTGTTATTTTTTTCCTTTTATAAAGTTCATGTATATTTTTACACCCAAATAAATTTCATGGTGCCTAATGCCCCTTGATGGAAACTTTGTTGTTAAAAATGCACCTTAAAACTGACTTTGTGGGCCCCTCTAACGGCAAACTGATGGACATTAACGGCATGGTGCCAGATGCTCCCTTTTGACAACTTCATGTATATTTTTGCACCCAAATAAACTTTATGGTGCCCAGTGCTCTTTTGGGAAAACTTTGTTGTTAAAATTGCACCTTAACCCTTTATAATAACTTCTATGAAATCCTTACTTTACATAAAATCCAAAAATTCTCAAGTTTATATTCATAACAAATGTTGAATTTCTTTTATACATATATATAATATTTCTAGAAGAGAGGAGCATGAAAACAAATTGAAGAGCTGCGTTTTTCCCCCTATCAATAAATGTATGTGCGGACAAAAACATGTTAGGAGGAAGAAGGCAAGGAAAGAGAGGAATCAATGGAACAAAGAAAAATTAAAATAATGAGAAGAAGACATGAGAGGTAAGTACGCACCTATATATATAACTCTATATATATATATATATATATGTATGTTTTGGGGTTGGTGATAATAATAAGACCTACGGGTGAACAGGGAAAAAGAGCAAAGAGGAAGAAGAACAAGGGGAATTATGAGGTAAAAAAATGAATTAAAAGGGAAAAGAAAACAAGAGTTGTAGATTTTACCTTGAATGTATGTAGATTTATGAGGATGGGATGCCTAGATAGTAGAAGAAGGAGCAACTACTTTTGAAAGGCCACAACAATGAAGGCTAAATGAGAAATTAAGCAGCAGCTAGGTAACAAATGTGTGAGGGGAAAAAGAATTAGGGTAGGCTAATATATTGTTAAAATTAATAAATTTACCTTTACTTAATTTAATTATATATATATATATCTTATCTTAATGTTATTATTGATATATCTGACTATATGAAAATCTCCAAGATCATGGGGAGAGAGATATATATATTTTAAAATTTAAACCAGTTTTTTTTTTTAATTTAACTTCCCATTAAATTTAATTTCACATACAAGATTTCAAATGTTTTGGATTTCAATGCGTTTCACCTTCTTTTTTTTTTTTAAATTGTTTTCTATTATTTCTTTATTTTTAATACATATATATAAAATGTTTTTTATTTTTCAATGCACTTATTTATGTGTATATACACCCATACAAGGTAACTTTTTATGATTAATTCCTTCAATTTGATTCACTTCTAAATCTCTTATTTCTTTAATCTTTTATGATAAACTTGAAAAATTGATAATTTAATTCTCTTAGTTCTTCTTTAAATAATCATTATCACTATAAAGTCCAAATAAAATTTGGGATGTTACACATGCTCTGACGTTCATGGTCCCCCTAAACTTTTTCCTCCAACTCCCGCCACAACTTTTACAGCTCCACCGAACATGTTGCTTTTTAAGGTCATCAAGGGCTTTTTAGTAATTGATCAACATTTGCATAATCCCCTATTAGACAACACTTCCCAATTTGTTAATATATTTGCTAAGCTTCTTACTTTAACATTTCACATTTTCAGGCTTCTTTATTTGTCATTTTTCCTCGATTTAAGTTTGATGTATAAAGATCTTATTTCAAGTGAAGCCTCCTTAATCATTCATTTTTAGCGTTTGTATTAGGAACCTCAATCTCATAACATAGCTAAATTTCTAGATCAGACACTAGTTTGGAAAAACACCTTGTCAATGTCACATCACGGTTAGATTCTCTGTCGTATGATAGACAGAACCCTCTTAAGAGATAGGAAAGATATTACTGGCTCAAGCTTTCACAAGAGAGGAGAAATTTATTAGAATGAACTGATGAGGAAAACTTCAGCTCAAAAAAGAACTGATGAGGAAAAGGCGCTAGTATTTCATAGATAGAATTTTGATCCAAGGTGAGTTTTGAGATCCCCATACTTGCAGGGTTATCTTTATTTTCTTTTGAACAAAGAGACAAGCCGAAGCTTGGAGCGGAAACCCACCCGGAAAAGGAAAGAAAAAAGAAAACTAACAAAGCCCACAAAAGACAACCCAGAAAGAATCAACCCCTAACTTAACCATCTTATTGGTCTTCCAGAGCCATATTCCTGCATTCAGTCGGCTCATAGGGAACCCATATCGTATCAAAAGGTCCGCAATGCCCTGTCCTTGCCAAAAAATCAGCACACTTGATAATGTCTCTCCCCGTGTGGTTCACCTCCACTGCCCTGTTTCCATAGATCATTTCCCTTGTATCAATAATGATAGATCTCAGGGGATGATCTCTTACTCGATCTCGCATTAAGAGATTAAAAGCCTCTAAAGAATCTGTATAGAGAAAAATCCTGGACAATCCCAATTGCTTGCATATCTGTAGTCCTGTCTGAATTCCCAGTAGTTCGGCCTCCGTAACTGAGCAGCAGCCCAGGTTCCTTTGGAATCCCATGAGCCATTTCCCATCATGATCTCTAATCACTCCACCACATGCCGCCTGTTGATTATCGCATACTGATCCATCAACGTCCAGTCTAACAGCATCCTTGGGTGGTGGTGTCCATTGAAATTCAGGTCTCGAAGCTGCGTTGAAAGCATCATGCTGGAGTTTCTGGCTCGTGGTATTCTCCATCAGATGGTATCTACACCGTTGAACCAGCTCTCTCGTATTGTTGGTCTCCCCTTCGAAAACATAGTTGCATCTAGATATCCAGAGCAGCCAACTTCCATACATGAAGACTCGTAGCCATTCCCAATTTGAGAACCTTCCAGTTGCTGGTCGATGTGTAGCATTCCAGACTAGCCAATCCTGCAAAGTTAAAACATAAAAACTAGGAAGAAATTGAGGTAATATTATAGATGACCAAAAGGCTTTCGCTCTCTCACAGTCTCTCAACACGTGTATAACACTCTCCTCTTCCTGACAGTTAAAAGGACAATTTGCTGTCTCTGATATCCCTCTATGAGCTCTAAGAGCGTTTGTGGCTATACTCTCATGGGTCACTTGCCATAAGAAAAACTTGATTTTTTTCTGGAACCCGACATCTCCATAATTTAAACCACCAAGAGTTCCTGTCAACTTGCTGCCTCCCATTAATGAACTCATACGCTGACCTTACGGAGAAATTTCCATTCGCTGCAGGTCTCCAGACATGCACATCCGCAGATTGGTTTTTAGGGGGTTTTATGCGAAGCAGCGTTGTGATAACGTGATGAGGTATAACTCCATGCCATCTATCAACGGCCCAAGTGCCATTCTCCCGCACAAACTCCTGAACCTTAGCTTTATGGTCCAACAATGAGGTCCTGCTCGCATACATTATGAGGGGGCGGTCCAGGGGAGACCATTTGTCCCACCAAAAGTTGGTATTCTGTCCGCTGTTAAGTTTCCTCCCTACTCCTTCCATGAAAATCTCCCACACGTTTACAATGGCCCTCTAGGTATGAGACGCTACCCTTCTATAATAAACTCCAGGGATTTCATCCTTACCACACTTATACTTGGTCTTAAGAACTTGAACCCATAACGCATTCGGTTTGGTGATCAATCCCCAGCACAACTTCATTATAAAGGCTTTATTCTGTTGATGCAGATTCTTAAAGCCCAGACCCCCATTCTTTTTCTTGTCTGTAACTTTCTCCCATGAGATCATGTGCATCTTCCTTGCATCTACATCTTGGCTCCACAAAAAGCTCCTGCTCGCCCTTTCCACCTCGTTTAGGACTCCTTTCGGAATGAGGGTTGATTGCATAAGATAGCTAGGAATTGCATTCAGCACTGACTTAATGAGGACCGCCCTCCCTGCATGACTTAGGAACCGGCCCTTCCAAGACGAGAGCCTTTTCTGCACTTTATGAATTATATAGGAGAACGTTAGTTTAGTGGCTCTGTTGTGAAGCAGTGGTACTCCTAGATACTTCCCCAGATCTGTAGTAAGTCCAATCCCCAGAATCTGACTAAGCTCCGAAGCCCTGTTGTGATTCATATTCCTGGAGCACAGCATCTTTGACTTTTCCATATTTACATGGTGACCCGAAACCTGACAGAACCTCTCCATAACATGCTTTATTTCCATTACTTGGTCCACCGAGGCTTCTGTAAACAGTATGAGATCGTCTGCAAAAAATAGGTGAGAGATATGAGGCCCTACTTTCTTGAATCTCAATGGTTTCCATCTCTTTTCTTCGCATTCCCACTTTATAAATTGCCCAAGTCGCTCCATGCACAGAATGAAAATATATGGGCTAAGGGGATCCCCTTGCCTGAGTCCTCTTGTGGGGTTGAATTCAGCACAATTCTCACCGTTCCACAGGATCGACAGTGAAGCGGTCGAGATGCACGACATGATGAGCTCCACTAATTCTCCCTTTATGCCGATGCAACACAAGGTGTCTCTAACGAAGTCCCAGTCTAATCTGTCATAGGCTTTTTCCATGTCCACTTTAACCGCCACTAACCCCTTCTTCCGCCTGTAGGTTCGCATAGTATGCATTGCCTCCTGGGCTATGACTATATTGTCACAACTAGATCGTCCTGGAATGAAACTACATTGTTCCTGACTTACCAGCTTTTCCATTACCCTTTTGAAACGGGACGCAAGGAGTTTAGTGAGAATCTTGAAGCTGACATTACAGAGAGAGATTGGTCTGAAGTCCTTGAGATGTACCGGATTATCCACCTTAGGGATCAGGACAATACGTGTCTGGTTTATCGCCCTGATTCTTGTAGGTTCCTCAAAGAAAGATTTGATTAGATCACAAACCTTTTCTCCAACTAGATTCCAGTGCCTCTGGAAAAAGTGCGCATTAAGTCCATCTGGCCCTGGAGCCTTAAAAGCCCCCATATCAAAAGCAGCGTTCTTAATTTCGGTTGAGTCCACTGGGCGTTGAAGCCAACAAAGATCCTGACTGTCTAGCTGTGGGAACTTCGCATACCATCTTAAGTGGGTCTAGGTTTCCCGCTCCTTTGTGTAGAGATTAGCATAAAAATCACAAGCCATCCGCTTTAAAAGCTCTGGGTCCTCTATCCACTCTCCATTGTCATTTTTTAGAATCTCTATTTTCTGTTTTTTCCTTTTGAGGACAATGGACGCATGGAAAAAATGAGTGTTTCTATCACCCCACATCAACCATTTACATCTTGATCTTTGGTACCATTGCAATTCTTCCTGAAGTAAAATTTTCTGGTATTGTGCCCAGAGTTTCTCCTCTAGTCTCCTAAGTCCCGGGTGATCATGCTTCCTTCTTTCTCTATCAATTCCTTCCAGTCTCTTCACCAGTTCTTTTTTCTTTATAACCAGGTTGCCCACATGCTGATCATGCCAGTTTAGTGCTTCCTCGTGGAACCTTTTAGCACCCTCAAGCCAAGATTTATCATTCCAGGCTTTCAATATGACTGCCTCAAAATCGTCCTCAAGTTCCCAGGCCAATTGGTAGGTAAATGTCCTCGGTTTCCATCTATGGTTATCACCGCCCTGTGGGTTTATCACCAGAAACCGGTGATCAGATTTAAAACGAAGTTCATGCGAAACCAGAGTTTTCGGATAATAACTTGACCATGTTACATTCTGAAAGACCCAATCTAGTCGTTCCTTAAGGCCAGTCCTTTCCCACGTAAGCCTATCCCCTCTTGTTTCACATTTAGTTAAACCACAGTCGTCAACGCACTCCTGGAACGGTTTCATGACTGCTTCATTCGGGTTGCCCCCACCCTTCTTATCCCCTGGCGACAGATAAGCGTTAAAATCCCCAAAAACCAACCAAGGTCCCGTAATCGTATCTGCAATCAGCCTTAAGGAATCCCAAAGTATCATTCTTTCTATTGACTTCGTCTCCCCATAGACAATAGTTAAGAACTCACCAGTCGAGTTGCTTCGACTACTCACTTTGCAGTGGATAAACTGTGTCGAGGAGCATATGTAAGTGACAGAGAGCTCCATACCATTCCACAGTAGCCATATTCCTCCTGAGAAGCCACTGTCTTCTACCCTTATCCAGTGGGAGAAACCCAACCTTTTAACCACATTATCTGCTCTCTTTCCACTAACACGTGGTTCCAAGAGGCAAAGGACGTCTACACTAAATTTAGCAGTAATATCTCTTATCAGGATGGGAAAGCTTCAGCTTCCAGCTCCCCTACAATTCCACACACCAATAATCATAGAAAAAAACAGAAGGCAAAAGAGAACAGAGCAGGCACCTAACAGCAGTTACCGCTCCTATTCTGGCTCCCCTTTTCCTCCTTTGCTACATCTGAGCTCGCGTCTATCCTCTTTCCCTCTAGTCTTATAGACTGCTCGACTAACGGGTTTGGCGGTTTCGGGGTCAAATCCGCCACTGCGACCAGAGCAAGTGTGTTTTCCATATCGTCATCTTTCTGCGTTCCCCCGTTGGTTGCCGTATCAATATTTAAGTCTTTGGGCAGGACTAGGACTTCCCCAGTGCAGGATTTCTCTAATATAGTTAGCTGGGCTTCTTCACTTTTTGCCTCCGTCTGCTCCATATTACCCATAACCACCTTATGGGTCCGTTGATTCTTCTGCTTGTATTGTTTTGGCTGGCCCAAAGGATGACTCCCCTCAATTGCCTTACCCCTTGCGTTCTTATTTGGCCCATTTCCTGAAATCGGCCCATCCATGGGCGGTTGGTTCTCCTTCCCAAGAGCTTTAAAAAGTAATTTTGGTCCTTGAGCTTCCTTGCGACCCTATTCACTCTTAAAGCGACGTGATTGCTCTTTTACCCCTTCTAGATTTCTCTTTTTCTGATAGGGGACAATAGCCTTTCTCTCTGCTTCAGAGTCTGCAGTAACCTTGTTCATGTCAAGAGGTGGTTCTTCTCTCCCCTGCTCTGTCTCCGCCCAATCCTCAAAAATCGAGAATCTCGATTTCTGCACATACACTTGCTCAGGCCGCCTCACCTTCGGCTGACCAGCAACAGTGCTCAGTCCTGGTTTCTGCTCGCCTTGTTTCGCGGACCGAGACTTGGAGGATTTTCCGGCTAACATCCATACTCCAAACGTCTCATCAGTGTCAGTCTTCTTCTCTGCCTGCGCCCGCGACGGTGCAACCACTACCGGTGGTGGCATGGAGGTGCTGGCCTCCTGCGTGTTCACATTGACTTTCCAGGGGCAAGCTTCGCGTCGGTGGCCAAATCTGCCGCATGCAAAACAGATTACCCCCAGTCCCTCATATTCTACATTAAAAACTTCCCCAGCAACAATGACGCGGGGTACTAGCTTCTTTTGTAAATCCAGCTCCACACATATTCTCGCGTACTTGCCTCGCTCAACCTTCATCTTGTTTACATGGAGGCCGTCTCTAAGCGTGTTAATGTCCACTTTCAGAGTCCGGCCAATACGATCCCCAATTCTAGTGATGCAATGACTATTGTAACAGTGCATGGGGACATCCGGAATACACACCCATGTCGCAACCCGTCGCAGAGGATTTTGGTGGGGATTAAAGTATGGTGACCACCTTTGCACCAGGACGCAGTGTTGCTTAACTACCCACGGACCATCATATAACACTTTACGGTAGTGAGTTCTCCATTGTTCAGTTTCACTAAAACGCACCAGGAAATAATTGTTAGGGAGGTCAATTAGGTCAAAATCTGAGAAGCCCCACAAGTTTCGCAGATAGTCTTTCAGCGTATAAACATTAAACCTTTTGCCTAAAACTGTTAACACCAGGGTGTAATTCCAGGGCTGACACCATTCATTAAACTCTTCCTCAGTAATGGGAACCACCGGATATAATTCCATTTGTTTCTTGATTTCTTCTGACACTTCCGGTAACTTCCAGTGAAGCTCGTTCTCAGCATGGAAAAGGTCGTCCTCCTCCATTGGGCACGCTCCATGAGCTATGCCATTAAACCCCATTAACGATGCTTTGTAAGAAGGGAAACCTCCTTGCGTATTCTTAGTTATTCCCCCAGAAAATTTCTCCACTTCAGCTTGATCTTCCATTCGGTCGTCCATAATAGCTTGTATAGGTTCCTCAATCTTTTTCTTCTTATTCTGTCCAGTACCCTCTTCAGATGATTCGCGATCTGGTGGCATTTTCCGTTGCCCCGTATCCTCCATGAAGTTCTTCGAAAGGTTCTTTGCACGTTTCCCAAGAGAGAGAAAGCCAACGAAACGCTCTTTTTCTTTTTAGCTAACTTATAGGTAAAACTTACTGCAGGGTTATCTTTATATAGACTCTCGACTAACGTTAGAATTTCTCATGAAATAAAGTTGGCATAAGATTATGACATAACTAAAGCTTGAATCCTTAATTGCATAAAGTTGACATGGACATAACAAAAGCTAAAATCTCTTTATTTTAAACAACTTTACTGAGGTCTTGGTCAAAAAAAAAAAAACAACTTTACTGAGGTAGTTACGACATAAAAAATAAAGCATGTCATAACAGCATATTGGACTTGAATGGCACAATATCGCCATTTGGACTTAAAGATAAGCTCCTGATCATTACAAGAGAGATCTGAATATATCTTTTCGTCTTGTATTTCAGCACACCCAAGCTTGTACTCGCGCTCTTATGCTTCATGCTCATCTAGTTGAATCTGATGATCTATCAGGTCCAAAAAAAAAAAAATCTGATGATCTAATGTTTCAAGCTCATATGGTCTTGAGAATCCAAAGGGAAAAGTGATGATACTTCAAAATCTGTCTTGTGCTGTGTATTTGATCATTGTGCCTCATTTAATCCAAGAGTGAGTTGAGCAAGCTCAGCTCAAGTATCTTGGATGTCTACTTTTCACATTTTGGGTGTTTCAAAAATGAAATAATAATACTAGACGTGTTCATAAGTCAAGATGGACATAAAATAATCCCGTTCTAATAATTGGGATGAAATAACCTTTTTGTCTAATGTCTTGTTTAATCCCAATGACATCTTGTCTTGTTCAAGACAAGACATAACCAAGATGAGATAAAGAAGTTTGGAATAAAATTTAAAAATTTTTTTTTTCCAAAACCAAATGTACATCGAGTATAAAAATTCATGATAAAATTTACATTAAAAAAATAGATTAAAAAATTATCAAAAATCAGCAACAATAGAGAATTAGCGAAGAAAAATTTTCATTTTAAAAGACAGAAAAACATATAAACTCAAAATATCCATAAAAAACATTATATGATCTATAATGATAAGTAAAATAAATTTATAAAATTTTAAGAAAAGAGAGGGATAATATACCGGAACATGATACCCCTGTCTTGCATTCTGTCTCATTCTGAAAGTTTTTGGGACTAAACTATCCCATCTCAAAATGATTGGATCGGGACAGGACGCAATTGAACATTCCTATAAAATACTATCTCTAATTTTAATTATAAAATTTAGTTTGCAGTTTTTTTTTTGACCAAGAAATTTAGTTTGCAGTTTAAATTATAGGGAAAACCATATTGGAGGTACCTATACTTTCTCTCAATTTTTAATTTGGTACCTATGTGTTTTTTTCCCTTTAATTAAACATTTAATTTTATCTTTTTAGCAATATTAGCTCTTATGACTTTGTTCTATTGATATTTTTAGTCTCTACATAAGAATTAATGATGTTAATAGAGTAAAATTAAAGATTTAGTTAAGAACAAAAAACACATAGGTACCAAATTGAAAATTGAGAGAAAGTATAGGTACCTCCAATATGGTTTTCCCTAAATTATATTATAAATTACATATATTATTAAAAAGAATAGTACCTAAAGAGGTGTATCCAAGACCCGGACCATCATCATGTGAATAATAGTTGTTAAGATCACATAAAAATAGTTGGAGACCAGGCTTGACATGACATTTTTTATTTTTCTCCTATTTGAGCCAATCTGTTGCGGAGTGCCACACGCAAGATTGATTAGCCGTAGAAAGATGGCCTTGTGGGTTGATGTTGTGGGGCCCGTAAAGAAGCAATAGGTGAATCAAAGCAATGAAAAATCCAGTAACTTCATGAAGCAATAACAGCGAAAAAGTAGGAGAAAGTGTTTACGCAAAGAAGAAGCAGTCCAAGTCAACGAAAATGGCTGACTTCATGGGGAAATAAACAGTTAAAAGTTACTTACCCAGTGCCCACCGTGACTTTTCTAAACAGTCCCCAATTTGTAGCTATTTACAATTTCCTGACATCGCCATTATCACGAAGCTTCCAGGAAACCCTCTTCTTTTCTTCTGGGCCACATCGATCTGTTTTCAACCTAACTTAATTAAAATAATAATTATAATTCCTTCTTCTTCTTCTTCATCATTGTTATTATTGTCACTTGGGATTCTCAGGAATTTCGCAGTTCGAACCTTTGATTTGCATTTTGCAGCAAGATCATCTTCTTATTTATTCTGGTGTTGGATCTCTCCTTTCTGTGTGCTGCGTGCGTCCTCATGCTTCGTCTGTTTCGCTTTCATCACTCCGTGTTCCTCGGTCGCTGCGGAATCTCCAAGAAGGTGCATGACTTTGAAAATTCGAACCATTTCTATTTTTGGTAATTCGATACCTTGTTGTTCTGTTAATTAACGGTGTTTATTACCATTGATTCGGTCAACCGTGTTGGTTGTTTCAGCAAGGCTTCAGAATGGCTGCTTCTCTCCCGGGTACGCCGGGCTTTCGTTTTCCTCTTTTGTTCCGTTTATAAAGGGTTAATCGTCTTCACAGCTCGTTCTAATTTTACTTCTAAAAGTTAAATTTGATTTAACTTTGGTCTTTAAAATTTTATCTTATTTTGATTTTAGCCCTCATTTTAGAGGAAAATACATTGTCTTAAGGAGTAGAACTATTCATATAATCTAAAACGAAATCAAATTTCAAGAACAAAAATTAATATGATATTAAATTTTAGAGGTCAAATTAAAATGACATTGGATTTCAAATTATAAATTATGTATGCTCTATTCATGTCTTTATAGTTTTTTTCTTTTTTTTTGTGAATAATTACAATTTTTTCAATTATAAATATTAATCTATATACTCATAATTTATTAATTAGGATTTATGTAGACACTAACTAAAGAATAAGTAAGTTACCACAAAATATAAAAATGAAAATATTTTTTTAAATAAAATGATGGAATGAAACTTATTTATATTAACATTAAAATAAATTATTATACTCATAAGCATCTCTTTGTTTTTTTTTATCTAAATCATATGACATATAAATTCGGAAAAATATAATATGTATGTCCTTATAATTTCACTTCATTTTTAAAGGAGTCCTTTTTATTTATTATTTCTTTTGTTAGATTCTTATAATTTTTCTAATTATAATTATTGGTTACTATATTCATAATTTGTTAATTGGAAAGAGAAAAGCATTAATAGTTGATGTAGCTTTTGTTTAACACACGTTTTAATTAATTTTGGCACATGATCAAGCTATTATATTATTCACAAATTAGTTATTTTAATTCTTATATTAAAAATTAAAGCGAGTATATTTTTTCTTTCCAGACATATCAAGGACTTAAAAAGTATTCTTCCGGTTCTAAATATAAGACTTTTTTTATAGTGTAAATTATACTATAAAAGAGGTCTTGTATCGGAGGAATGAGTTATACCATGAGCACCTGGTGAATAATATGATTTTAAATAATATCTCTTGGAAGTTCGCACTTTTTAAATTCTATACCTTTTGCGGCTTTTTTGGGTGGGAAAGAGCCTATCCTTGTTCCATGAAATTTTATAGTAGTTTCCCTCTTATTTAGAATTCCAACTCCTTTAAGTTATAAAACTCTCCAATTCTTCATTCCCTCTTCAGTCTAAACCTCTCATACATTCACTCTCTTTTATGTTTTTTTTATTTTTGTAGATTCTATGGGAATTGATTCAAAAATGTGTTCGCCTGATTTCTACCAAAATGTTATCGTAATGAGACATGGTGAACGGATGGATAACTTCGAACCCTTATGGGCCTCCACTGCGACCCGACCATGGGACCCACCCTTGTTTCGAGACGGCTGGGTTCGCGCGCTAGAAACGGGTCGGACCCTCAGGAAAACTCTCGGGTTTCCTATCAATCGGGTCTTTGTCTCCCCCTTCCTTCGCTGCGTTCAGACTGCTTCCCAAGTTGTTACTGCTCTCTGTGCTGTCCGTGACGACACCAGTACCCTCTCTAGCCATGCCATGCCCATTGATCCATCCAAAGTCAAGGTTCGATTTTTCCTCCTTAAAGGACTGTATTTCATAAATATCATAAATTTGTTTGGAGTAATATTTGATCGAATTTGGGTTTTAATTGCTTTGGGGGGGGGGGGGGGAAGGAATTTTGGTTTCAACTCTTGTAATTTCAAATAGCTGGTTTTGACCCTTGTGTTTAAAAATGGAGTCAAAGTCAAGACTCATTACAAGTATAGAATTAAACATAAGACTCGAAAATTATGAAACTATAGCAGCAAAACCAAGCTTTAAAATGATAGAGACTGAAACCAAAATTCAATAAACTATAAGTACTAGCAATGATGCCAAGTCAATTTGTTTCATATCAACATTATATTTGGGTCAAACGAAATCTCGAAGGTATAATCGCCCCCCCCCCAAAAAAAAAAAGGTTTGGTTTCCTAACTTTGAATTACCAAGAAAGATGTCTGTATATTATGGAGACTTGGAGAGTTTTAGCTTAGATTTATGTAGGTAAAAATTGTGATTGATTGTGATGGATCTCACATGCACCAAATTGTGCAGGTATCGGTTGAATATGGACTGTGTGAGATGATGAACAGTACAGGAATCAGACCTGGGGTGGCTCCAAAAGATGGAAATTTTAGTATGGATATATCGAAGTGTGAAGCCTTGCTCCCTGCAGGAACAGTGGATGATAAAGCAGAAAGATTGTATCAAGAGGTACAGAGCAATAGTTATCTCTTTTTTCTGCCGACAATATCAAAGGCTTCGCTAAACAGAAGTCAAAAGTTAGAACAAAAAAGAAACACAGAGAGATGGATAGGAATGGGACTTTCTGCCCATTGTTTGACATGCAGCATGAAATGGAATCTAAAAGGTGATGTATTGAACAAAAGTAATATTTTAAAGGGTTAATATACATTTTTGTCCCTCAAATTTACCTTCATTTTGATTTTAATCTCTTAAATTTCAAATTATAGGTTTTGGTCTCTGAAGTTTCTTTTTATTTATAACATTAGTACTTATAATCAAATAAAACTTAGACCGTTTTGCCTCTTGAGGGACCAAATCTATAATTTGAAATTTGAGAAACTTTTTGGTCAAAAAAAAAACTTGAGAGACTAAAATCAAAATGAGAGCAAACTTAGAGGACAAAAAATTATATTAATCCTATTTTTAAATGTGAAACGTCATATATGTTCTTAAATAAAAATTAATAAAAAATGATATTGTTGAATAATGATTACAGAACCATGACGGACATCTCACGTCTTAGTTGTCATGCGATGAAAGAGTCATTTTTCCTAGTGTAAACCCAAGCAGGGCCTTCTTCCCATGTCTTTATTTCTATTCTTACTTTTTTTTACTCCCCTTCTTCAAGGGTTCCATGCTAATGCAAATGTGTAACTTGCTGATGAAAACCATATTTATTGATAAACTGCAGTTGCCAAAGTGGGAGGAGCCTATTTTGAGCACGAGGGCTAGATATGAGCAAGTATTCAAGGACCTTGCAGATAAATATCCTACTGAGAACTTGTTGCTCATCACACATGGTAATATACTTCTCTTCATTACTTGGACAGATTGTTGGATTCCTTGAAGGATCAAATCAGATCTTTTGTTGAGTCTCTCCCTTATGAGATTGTAGCTGTTGAACCCATCAAACGACTCAGAAAAGAGGGGGAAAATATCATATTAAAACACATAATTTCACTTGGTTTTGATCTAAGATGCTGGGATACGCAGTTTGACTCAAAACATTGCTTTTTATGGTCAAAGCACGCGTCCTTTCATCTCATCTTAATCATAATGCACTATTGCAGCAACTGAAATTCCGTGTTTGGATCTTACCTTTTGCCCCAAGGGAAGATCTGATTTGAAAGGGCCATCATTCTATCTAACAAAGACACTTTTTAGTTTTGAATTCAAGTTTTTCTATTCTTTTTCATATGGTAAAATACTGACTACCTCAGGGCTTACTTGGAAAAGAAGAATTTCCCTTTCTTACCTTATAAAGCATTTTGAGATTACGCTTGACAAAATTGCTGATTAAGGCCAAGTTTGGTGGTCAAATGCGTAAAACTCGGTTTGTTGCACGTATCAATTGCAAAAGTTTCTTGGGGAAGGGGATTCAAATTTTGCCTTTTGAGTAGTTTCTCATGTCTTGTAACGAATATGTGAGATACAATTATAGCTCTAGTTTGTTTAGTTGCACTTTTAGTTCTTCTATTTTAGCAGAGATGCTAATTTAGCCCCTCTAGTTTCCATAACAGTTTACACTGACGTTTCTCCTCAACTATCTCATTAGAATTTTTTTGTCTTTACTTAAATGATGAGTTATAATGCTTATTTCCTTTCGGAAGTGAAGTGTCCAATAAGAAGTAAAGGAATTGTATCTGAATCGCAGGGGAAGGAGTTCAAGTGGCTCTTTCTGCATTCGAAAAAGATGCACAAGTGACTAAAATAGAGTACTGTGCTTATGTGAAACTGAGGCGTCCTGTTTTCCAGAGAGACCACTCATTTACTGCTGGAGAGTTCAATGTGCTTAATATTTCTGGTCAATCTGGCATCACTTATTCTCTTCCAAATTCTTCCACCACTCACATCGATGAAGTTTGATAATGATTCTCACTTGAAGTCTGAGAATTTTATATTGCAAATTTAGAATCCTCCTAAGTGGATGCTGTTTTGAATTAAGAAGCCAAAACGAAATGGCATTCTTCATTTTCCTTTTTTTTTTTTTTTAATCCCCATTCATGTTTTGTGGCGTGTGTAATTTTTCCCATCGCAAGGACATTGAAATAAGTAAATGGCTCCTAATTCAGCAAAGTTTTTATGGTCCTATCAATTTTCTGGTATTTATTTGAACGTTTTATATTATTATTATTATTATTATTATTATTATTATTATTATTATTTAATTAAGATGATCAGTTCCAAATTTTCGTTGGAAAGTTACACTCTCTTTTTTTTTCCTTTTTAATCGTTAATATATATAAATAATAAAATTTAAACCATCCAAAATAAAAATTTGGTCACTTTTGATGATATAGAAGGGATCCAAGCTTGTATAGGAATAGGGAGTTAATAACAAATTTAGACATTACTTGACCCAGAATCATTTTGAGAAATGAAACATGATAGTTGCCATCAAACTTCTACTGAATTTCCATCAAACTTCTACAGAATTTATATTTACCATTCACTACAATTTATAATGGAAATTATAATTATAAAGTGAACTAAAATACTAATGAAATTTAAAAGATAGCAGTAATCTTGAATTACGCAAAAATAAACAACTTTGATTGTTTGAACTCAAGAAGTAACTTTACTTAAGAAAAGTATTACAGATAGTTCCATCCATTTTCAGACAAATTGTTCAAGTAAATCAAGAACATCAACAAAGACAACACCAACATTCGAACTTTGTGGTCATTCCTACAAGTGATCTTCAAGCATATCACGCCATGACGACTAAATATTACATACATAAATATATAGAACTAGCAAGATAAAATATGCAGTGTGTGTATGTTTTTGTACGTGTTTGTGAAGAAGTACACATAAGTCATCACAGCTCTGATGATGATGGGCTTGGAGGTAGCTGAGGATGATCAAACATATCATCTGGAAAATCATCAAAGAAGCATTCAGGGTTTGTGGGGTTGTTCCCATTTGGACCCCTCGTCCCAATTCTACAACTTCCTGATGGATCATAGAAAGGAAACCCTAAAAATGGAATCTGTGTTCCTATTCCAAGTTCTGAGGCATCATCATCCATAGGGTCCCCTACTAATCCCAATTCATCAATGAAACCAGCAGACTCATTAGATCTGGCCAAGAAAAGATCTTGACTTTCCATTGAGAATGGAAAAATCTGCGGGAAACCAATTCCTGAGCTTATGTCAGTGCTCATGTAGCTCTCAAACGATGTCGCAAACTCTTCTTTGATCGAATTGACTGTGTCAGAACTCGAGGGATTGGTGGAGTTCATGAGATCTTGCAATGGCACCATCTTTATGACCTCTGAATTCTCAGTAGTAAAGGATGATGAGCGTGGCTGATGAGCTTTTGATGATGATTCTTCCACAGATGAAGAACTGAACTTACGAGCCTAGAAAACCAATGAATAAAAGAAAGTCATATGCAAATATTAGAAACTTCAATGAGGAAACATAACCAATATATAGGCATTTGCAGTATACCTCTGTGCATCCTCAGTGCAAACAATTTATGGATATGGCAACTCAAGAAACTGACCCAGTTCCCACACAACCGGTAAGACTCTCCATGCAGAATTGAGAAGCCAGATAGTGACCCAAACAGATACGAGACTCACTCAAGTTTCTAGTCCACTTTCATTATATAGTTCAGTTTAACACAGTAGTCAAGAAGACCATGAAGCATAGTTATATAATATCCAATGTGTGACCTATACTGACTTGACATAATGTACACTCCTACTAATGAACATCATTACATTACGGTATCATGTCTGCGTCGAATAATTCCTGGCGTGAAGAAAAATAAAGCCAAAGCAGAGAACTAGAATTCCAGAATTGCCCTAACCATTGACTAGAACAAATGGGGAAAAAAGATAGGAAGAACCAAGGAATTGCTATAAGAAACCCCAAACACTTAATCTTTGAACTTCAATGAAATTTTAAATCAAACATCGATGGAATAACAAAAGGACTGTAATACATGATTCTAAAATATCATACTTAGATTAAAAGACCGACAAGAAAAATACCTCAATTACCTCCAGAGGGGAAACATTGTGGAAACTGGGGACTTCATTTTTGTTCTTGTAGGATTTAGATGATGGCGGTGAAGAATGCAGAATCCTAGCGATCCTCTTTCGCCTACTACTCCAGAAATTCTTGACATCATTATCTGTTCTTCCTGGCAAATAAGACGCAATCTTGGCCCATCTGTTCCCAAATTGTGCTTGCAACTCAATCACCACCCTCTCCTCCTCCAGCGAAAATTTGCATCCACTAATTCAAAAAAACAAAACCCCATCAAATAATTTCAACTATAAGCTTAAACACTCAAATCTGAATCAACACAGCAACAACAGAGAACAACCCAGTAATTAAACGTGTTGTTTTTTGTATAGACTCAAACAGAACTTTCATCAAACAGCAAATAGACTAGATGATGCATATAGAAAAGAGGAATGAGTAAATACCTCTTGAGGTTTGGACGAAGCTTATTGACCCAACGAAGACGACAAGACTTGCCGGTGCGTTGAAGAAGGCCCTTGGATCGAATGGAGCTCCAGTCTCTGGGGCCATACTTGTTGACATGGCTTAGAAGCACTTCGTCTTCCTCGGCTTTCCATGGCCCTTTCCTTATAGGCCCTTGATCCTTCTTCTTCACTTGCATTATTCTCTGCAAAACCTCTCTCTCTCTGAAGTCTGAACAATGTCTTTTTCTCTGCGTGTGTTCTGTTTTCTCTCTGGACTCTGGAGTTCTATGTGACGGTTTTGGCGGTTACTTCCACTTCCCCTCCATTACTAAGCCCACGTTCCTGAAAAATCGCATTTCAAAATGATTGTGGAATGACCAAATTGCCCTCTTCAAGCTTGGACTATTGGAGGAGTGGGATTTCGGGCTGATTTGTTGTTTGCGGGTCATAGATTTCAACTCTTTTTGGGACGAGCTAGTAATTATCAATTAGTATAAAATAAATTCCTTTTGTTAAAAAAATTAATTCTTTTTTGCCCCTGAAAAACTACTTTGGATTAATATAATATTTAGTTGTTATAATTTATCCTCATTTTTCCCTATAGTTTATATGCTTTGATTCTTTCAGAAGTAAAATAATCCAGATTTTTATTAAAATATAAGGATTAACATTTTTTATAGAAAAAATTAAGGGCCAAAATCTATGATTTAAAATTATAAGAAGCAAAACTAAAATGACGACAAACTATAAATACAAGACATTGTATCAACCCAATTCTTTTATTAGCTAACACCTCATTTTAGTTGTTTACCGTTGGAAATTTTTAATTTTAATGAGTAATTAAAGCATCTTCTCAGTCCAAGTCTTCACCAATATAGTATTTCACAATTTAATCCTGGCGTATTATTCTTAAAATATAGATATTTTACCATTATTAAACCAAATACTAGTGTGGTTGAGACTAAACCAAACCGAAAGCTCAAACTAGTCTTAATCATCAATTGGCAATTATAACATGCTGTTTCACATTGTTAGATCACTCCACGGATTTAGCCATTTAGGCCTCATTTGGAGTTACATTTAAAATCAATTGTAAGCGCATTTTACATAAAATGAAATAAACCTCTCTCATATATTTACATATGTAAATTATGATTGAAAAATTGTTTATAAGCTATTCTAAGTGAGTTCTTAATTGATTTAAGTCGCTTTGAGTTGAGATTTAAACTGAAAATCAACAAGTAACTGAGAATTGAGAGCGGTTTGAAGACAGTTAGTCAAGTCGCCGGGGGGGAAGACGAAATTGGAATAAGAGAAAGAAAACCAGAAGGAAAAAAAAATCTAATTCCTAATTTTATTTTAAAATGGATCTTCTTTTATGAGTATGACCGTCGCTTGTATAAACCCCAACACAAAATGCAACGATGTTTGAAAGCTCTGCTAGTCCTTGGAAAGTTCAACAGAACTCGTTGTCTTTGCTCTGATGGATCCAACACAAATGGATCCATCCTTCATTCCTGCTTTATATGTCTTTGCCCAGCCTCGGTGGTGGATGACAAACCAATAGGTCCCTAAAAGTTATAGCAAAAGCTCTCAAAGCTTGCTGGAACCTTCAATAGAGGCTCAAAGTCTGAGGTAATAACAATCTCTTCATCATCAACTTTTACTGTGTTCAAGATCTCCTCTTTGCTCACCAGAATGGCCTTTGCTCGGTTGGGAATGCATTGTTCGAGATCAATCTATTGTCTACTTTGGCGTATGGGGACTGATCAAAGAATAGAATATGCAGTGGCTACTTGAGGGTAAATGGATACCATTTCTTCAAGATTCCAAACTTGGAATGCGATGCTTTTATCACAAGCGGATGGGTTATATCTTTGATAAATCCACCATAGCTTCCATGCTCAACTACCAGTTGACTTACCTGAAGTTATCTTAAAATTGGTCTTTTTACTTGGACTCTGTTTGTAGTAATTTCTTCAAGGGGCAGTTTTCTGATGGGAAAAGAATACATCTGAAAAAATGGGAGGTTCGGTTAAGTTCAGCTTATGAGATAATTATGACTTTTGGTCTATAATTGATTTTGGCATGTGTATAGGAGGGATGTTTGGTAGCTTATAAAACCACCATGATTTTTTTATTCATAATTGATTTTGATATGTATAAATTCTCAGAGTAAATGAAATTTTGCTGCTTCAGCATGATATGACCTGACTTACCATTTAAGAAAACTGTTATACAAATATTAAAAACATTTGAAATAAATAAATTCATACCAGCAATGACTACCATAAGAAAAGCAACCCACAATGCCAAATTACCACCAACGTTATACAGACAACACAAGATGTGGAGTTTCTATCAAGCCTGTATTATTAATATCCTAGCCCTTCTATTTTATCAGCATACAGAACTGCTTCTATCAGCGTTGGAGACCCCAAAAAAAATGCTCCTAAAATAATTTCCCAAATAAATAAATCTTGTAGTTGCCTTATGTTTTTTCCCCCACTTTTTTTGAAAAAAGAATTAGATCCTATTACTACTTCATATATAACTTCAGGGATAAAAGTTTAGAACCATAAAAGAGAACGGCACTTCCATGTCAGCTGTCAACTCCATGACAGTAAATATACAATCTTCATAACTTTTCCGCCGTATACAATTAACATCTAAGAATATAAAGAAGCAAGATGTTCATATGAAAATATGACAAAGGTTATAATTGGCCTACTTACGTCTCATCTAATATAATCAGTCTGCAGAAGGATGAACAAAGATTCACATCATTAGGGGTTAGCATCTCTCAAAAATCTTAACACTTAGGATCTTTTAAACGGAAACGCAGCCTTGCAAGATAAGATATTCCCAGTTCCTTCTTAACAACTCTGTCACAAGTTTGAACCCTGGCTGCTGCCTTGCACAGACAGCAATTCACATTCCTCCATGAGCCCTCAGGGCAAGGGGTGCTAGGGACGCCATTGATGGAGCATAATCCAGACAAGGGAAAAACAAAAAACAAGCTGCCAGAGCATATGAAGAATCTGTACAAAATCAGTCAGAATATGTCCCTCGGTTCATTCACAATACATGGGCAACAACTAATGATTATAAGAATTAGTGTTTGGAGGTACATAGAATTGCTCAAACCAATGTTTCGGAGCAGCTGGGTGAATTTTGTAAGCTATATCTACAAATTGATTGTTGCTTCTAGAAATCACAGTTGTGATGGTATACTTTTCTCCAAACAGACCTTTTTCTTTAAGCCACATGTGGAATCCGTACCTAGGCTTAATTCGGTTCTCTAGATTATAATACAAAAGTGCCGCCAAAGGAGTCAGACACTGTAAAGGGATTCCCATTTCCTGACAGAAGAATTTCACCTTCTCATCCATAACTTGAGATTTTTGGTTTAGAATTTTAGGTGCTTTTTTCACCATGATACAGAGCTTTGAGAATTCAAACCCTAAATGCAGAAGGAATTCAAACCTTTTCTGTAACTTCCAACTATAGCCATGCAAGTAAGCTGCAATGTCTATAGTTACAGCATTTTCTCCAAAGCCCAAGCCATGTAAGAAATTCAATTTGCTCAACATATGATTTCGGGAACTGGAAGCACAAATCATCGTTAAGCCGGCTTGATACTCTTTATCCTTCTCTTCATTAGGATGGGTTGCAAGATAACTTATTAACAAGTTATGATTTCCATCCTTCATCTTGTTGAAGAACCATCCATGTAAATCCAAAGCTCTCATTACATTAGGCAGATTATCCATCTTGTTCGTCCCCAATACATGATCATATTTTTTACTAACATCCTCCAGAATTTTAGGGCTCAAGCCAAAGTGTTTCAATAGCTTTGATACAGAAACCACTGGCATCTGCAAATCAAGATTCAACAACTCTGGGGCTTTTAAAAGTAAAAGTGCTACTTCCTCTTTTTGGACACCAAATCTACAGAAATACTCTGCCTTTTGAATCAACTCATCTTCTCCATATTCAATAAAGATGGTTTTTGCCCTTCCCATGAGCTCCCCTAACTTTCCCTTCTCACCATTTAAATTATAGAACACCCGAATTTTTCTACATACTTCATGCCAAGAATCTATATTTCCTTCGACATATCTTGCCAATTCAAAATCAAAAAACACTGACTTCAGATCAGTAAACAGGCCATCAATTTCGCCATCAACCTCTTCACCTTCCTTACCCAAGATATTGGGGAAAGCTAGACATATACCAACCACTTCAACATTACCAAACCCGCGCTTCTTAAACTCATAGAGTTTAGACCCCAACTCTTTGGAACTTCTCCTGAACACGGAACTACATTCCTTATACAAGTTACCCAGCTTATCCCACGGAAACCCAAAAAATGAAAGGGCGCGAGCTGCCTCCAGAAGTGACCCATCTTCAGAAAAGAAGACCTTATTCGGAGGCAACAACTCAGAAACGCCATTATTGTAGTCTATGCCTATGCTTTCAAAGAAAAATTCGAACTCATCGATGGGGTTGTACCTGAGGTATTTCTCGAAATTTCTCGAGAAAGTGGAGGCCGAGAAATCCACCTTCACAATGAGGTTAACGAGGGAAAGGAGGGAGTTCTTTGCAATCTGATCCGCTAACACAAACGGCAAGCATCGAGTTTCGTGAAGGTAATCGGTGAGGACTTTCTGGGCTTCACGGACAGCGAACTTTTGGTACCTTTGGGGGATTTTTGAGGATTTCAGGAGCTTCCTTGTGGTGCTGCTGGTGGTAGAAATGTGGCGGAGGAAGATTTTAGCAAAGGAATTCAGAAACATGCTTGAACAAGCTTTGGTTTCTTCATTATCCAGAATTGATATGGAATTGCGGGGAGGATCATCGGGCCAAAGCCAAGCCAAAACAAGCAAGAAACTGGATTGAATAATTAATTTATCAATAACAAGCCAATATGCCCAATACAATTCTCAAAAAGCACCCGGCTTGGTGGTCTTCTGCTTAAGATTGCGCGCACGCAGTTGCACATAATTAGAGCCGGTAATATAGGTTGGACCCGTCAACTGATCAAAAATGACGGGTTAGGGTTGGCCAAAATGGCCAACCTGTCATTACTTTAAAAAACATAACCCGCACCGCCATAACCCTAACCCGTGACGGGTTGGCCCGCCAACCCACGAGTTAACCCACCTATTTTAAAAAAAAAAAATAACAAAGGCAAAAGTAAAACAAATTTTTACTTCAAACTTTATTGTCATTAGAAATAATTAGATAAAGAAGGTTATTCAGTATTGCTCATTGGTTTCATTGAAAAAAATGTGTGAACTTATGTATTATCATGTTGAAAAATTGGACAATCATATACTATTTGTATTTTATTGTGTTGTAATTTTTATTTAGATGTTTCTAATATTTTATATTATTTCTAGTATTTTTATTTTGTATTATATATAACTGCTAACATTTAAAAAAATAAGAAAAATTTAAAAAAAAAAGCAAGAAAAAAAATAAAATTTTTGGCGGGGCCAACCCACCTTAGTCGGTTAGGGTTGGCAAAATGCCAACTCGTCAGAAAACGGGCCTTTTGAGCCTGCACCGCACAACCCGCAACCCGCCGCGGGCCAACCCACAACCCGCGGGTTGGCCCGTTTTACCAGCCTTACCCATAATCACGTATGTCTCTAATTATGTTTAACTAGAAATGAAAAAATAAAGAAATAAAAATATTATTTTATCAATATTTTGAAAAATATAATAACTTTTTTGACAGTAATAAAAAAATAAATTATTAAATGTAAAATAACTGTTATTTATTTACATATATTAAATGAATGATTAAAGTTTGAAATAGATTCAGGCAAAAAGATTGAAAAAATTTGGATAAAAGATGGATACTTATATTACTAGGTCAAGTTCCCTAATCATTGCATCATTTTATTATAGTTGTTAAAATGTGCATGTATTAAATTCACATATGAATACTTGTAATTTTTGTGTTTCGGCTCTTATAATATAAATTAGAATTGACATATTTTTATATAGATATTTATTATTTTGTTATTTTTATTTGTTTAAATGCGTAAGCGTATTATATATGGATTCACCAATAAAATATAGACACTTATTATTTTAATATTATTAATTGTTAAAATTTATTATATACTCGTGAATTCACTACTCAACATAAGTTCTGTTGCACACTTCTTATCATTCTCATGTGAAGTTTCTAACTTCCTATGATGTATCTCTTTACCATACAAGAATCTGCTTTTTATATGAAAATTGCAAAATCATGCAATTCCCTCACAAGATATTCTTTAAAAAAAAAAAAAAGGGAATCATTTGAATGGTTTTGAACCTTTTGGTGAATGTCTCCTTGGCTGCTCCCAATAGGAGGCAAGAGAGCACCTCTTCGTTTATCTGTTTGTGTTAAATCTCTTTGGTTTGGATGTTTTTAAATAAGGATTTAAGCTTATGCTTTTAATGCTTTTGTTAGTTGGCTTAAGTGTACATTGCATCAATTGCACAAAGGATGGAAGACAACTAGACAAGGCTGGTACTCCTCATGTCCTTAACATAGGATTTAATTAGGAAGTTAATGTTAGTCCTATATGTAAAATTTCTTTCATATGTTGATCAATTTTTTCTCAAATTAACTTTATTGATATTCTTCCAATAATAATTAGGTATGAGAGGGATGGAGAAAATTAAGCTAGATACTTAAGATATTTTAGGGAAAAAAACATATCATATTAACTAACTTAACTAACATTCTTAATCTACTCAAATTAGTTAATAGATCTTAGAATAAGGATCAAAACACTCATTAACATGATTTCAATGAAGGGAAAATAGGGCACCCTCTCACAATCATGAAGGAAAGTTTTGGTATGCTTAAGTTCTCTTCCTTGACTTTCTCCCATAATGAACAATAATGTTGTCATGCTTTAATCACCACATTTAAAACTCGAGCACAGGAATCTTGGATCGGTACTAGGAAAAATAAAAGACATAGCATCGGGTTTTTTGACTTTGTCATGAAATTTTGCGTTTGAAAGGAGGCTCTCCACAAATTTCAATGGCCTCGTTGTTTAGCTCCCCATATTTTTTCTACTCATTGTGTTTAAGGGTTCGTTTTTGTATGAAAGAAGTAGAGGGAAGGGGGGAGAGAGAAAATTTTAATGTGCTCATTTTAAAAAATTGAAATAATAAGGTTAAAATTTTCTAATTGATTTTGCTTCCTCTTTTATCTTATTTTTTTATTAAAATTTTTTGACCCAACTTTTTCTATTTCTTAAAATGAGCTTGTTAAAATTTTTCCTCTCTTTCCTTTCCTTTCATTTCTCTCATACCAAACAGAACCTAGGTATTTTTATCTTAGATTCACCAATATGAATTGACTCAAAAAGAATAGAACCTTTTAAACATAATCTGTATCAACAAGCAATTTATATGTTCTCCACAAAGCTTCTACAGCCTCACAAAAGCCTATACACTATCCCATGTGGTTTGGCAAGATATCATTACCTTTGTAGATTTTTCCCCCCATGGTTTTTGTATGCTCTAATTATGTTGATAGAAGTGATTACATGCTAACAGAAAGAAAGACTAACTAAAAGAGAAGGACTTAGACATCCTAATTAGGCATAAACAGTTTTTCAAAAGGACATTACTATGATGTTGCATGCTTAGCTGCTGCTGAAGCAATTTGATTAGGTTCCCATCCGTAGAGTAGATGTGCAAATCATGAGAGGTAGGCGAGGAGATAATAGCCCGCTTCACTATAAGTAAGGGAGCTCGCCTTAATGCAGATAGATGAATAAACCATTTTAGATGATTTCCTTTATCACAAGAGAATGTATGAAAGGGCTCCCCTTGTTAAAAGATCTTAACTTGGATCCTCAGGAGAGATTTGGAGTTGCAAATTTTCATTGCATGAACCATTATTGTCCAACCATGCCCCATAATGATATCTTGCAACTGAGGTGGAGGAGACTTTGGAGTCCTTCATTGTTGATCCATACAGTGCCACTGACCACCTATTGTATTGGTAGCATATACAATAGAAAGAACTTGGCTTGGGTCAATATGCGCACCTCTAAAGAGGCATTCAATTCTAAAATACCAGATATAATATAAAACCAGACATATGAACTTGCCAAACGCCTTATCTACATGTGACAGTGAATTATGTAGCCATACATCCAGAGAAATTGTTCGATCAGTATTAGATTTAAAGGGTAAATGTGATCCAAACCATATAGCTCTAGACCATGGACAAAGTAGAAACAGATGTTCTCTGGTTTCAACTGTTGGACAGCCAAATAGACAATTGGGATCCACATTTATATGATGTCTAATCATCATATCTTTGACTGGTATGGCATATGTAAGAGCTTCCAAATGAACAAAGCAACAGGAGGGATGAGATAAAAAGCTATTGATTATCTCACAGGAATTATCAAAAATGAGATGAGTACTTACCAGAGTTTTGTAACCATCTGCCACTAAGTACTTATGACAACAATTACTTGTCCACATTAAGCCATCATGACACTGGAGAACTGAAAATGGGATGTGAAGAATCTCTTCTACTATGTTTTTATCATAAAGGAATTTGAGAAGTCACATATTCCAACACCCTTGATTGTGCGGTAACAAGTCGCCCACTGATGTTTTTGTAAATGGGCGGACACACTGCAAAGACCACCAGAGGCGGCTATAGAGGTTGATTTGTGAACCATTTCCTAATTTCCATCCTAGATTATCAAGGATTAACTCTTTAACTCTGCTAATATTTTTCCACATCAGGGACTCTATAGATCGCAAAACCAGTATTCCTTCTTCTTTCTCAAAAACATATTTGAGTTTTATAACTAAAGAAAATAAGGAGTCCTTATCAGCTACGAACAAATGCCAAATATGTTTTGCAAGTAAGGCCTCGTTGAAGACCTTTGTCTTTTTGATGCCAAGGCCACCCTGGCACTTAAGAAGAGAGATCTTATCCCATGCCAATCAATGAATATTTTTCTTGTTATTTTGAGAACCCCAAAAGAAGTTTGCTATTTTCATATCAATTTCATGACTTATATGTAAAGGAAGCTTATAACAAGAGAGAGGATAGACCAACAGAAAGGAAATTGCAGATTTAATCAAGGTTAGTCTACCTGCTTGAGAAAGTAAACGAGCGTGCCAAACTTGCAATTTCGAATCTACTTCATCCAAAATATCCATGTATAATACTAATTTATCTTTTCCAAGATCCATATATTGACCTAAATATTTACCAAATTTGGAAGCAAAGTGAAACCCAAGAATGCCAGAGAGTCGTCTTTTTCCTTCATGGTTGACATTAGGACTGAAGACAATGAGGGATTTCTTTTTATTAACTATTTGTCCTGCTAATTTCCCATATTTATCAAGAATATTAGCTACTAAGCGCATGGAGTTATCATCAGCACACACAAAGAAGATTGTGTCATCTAAAAATAATATATGAGACGGGCCAAAGAATTCTTTGATACTTAAAGCTTTTCCAACTTCCTGTATGTTGTTCCTATAAAATCCAAGCTGAGAGAACATTAGCACATAAAATGCATAAATATGATGATAGTGGGTCCCCTTGTCTTGTTCCACATGTAGGAGTAGAGGATTGAGATGGAGCTCCATTTAATAAAACTTGAAAGGTAGAGGAGGTAACACAAATCATTAACATTTGGATCCATTCTTCTGGAAAAGCCATTCGCAACAAAACTGCATGTAAGAATTGCTAAGAGAGCCAATCAAATGCTCTATCAATATCGATCTAGACAACACACCAGCCTTTTTTTTTTTTTTTTTCCTTGTTGATTTCATTTTAGCTAAAATTTCATTGACTACCAAGATAAGATATTGAATGTGTTTGGCATCACGATCATACCTCCCAAACCGACTTCTCCATCGGAAAATAATGAAAAAAGCAACTTTTTGTTTAAATGTCATGCTTGGAGTGGTCATAGAAGGAAATGGGCTTATGTCTAAAAAGAACTTTTGTCCAAAAGCTCCAATTCATTGCTTCGCGACTTCTCCACAGCAAGATTGGATAGGTGGGGCCTATGAGTGAGGAAGGAGAGAGAATGCTTTATGCATGATGTGTATTTTTTAAAAAAAATTTTTAGCCCAGCCATTTTTTAATGTTAAAGAAATTATTTTTTGAATAATAAAACCATTTTTAAAAATAAATTTATTATTTTTTATTATTTTCTATCATATTTATAAAATCTATGGAAAATTGAGAAAAATGTTGTATTAAAAATTTAATTAGTAAGAAGTAATTGATAATTTTTTATATACTAAGTGTAAATATTATAGATATAGAATGCTTGTATTATGATTTAAATCCTTCTCACTAATTATACTTTTAATAGGAGGACTTTTTCTCAATTTTTCCTAAAATTTAAATATATTATTTTAGTTTTAATTATTCTTAAAAATAACTATGTTTATTTTTACAACTATAATTTTAATTAAATATGTATCATTTGATAAAATTTATGTCCTTTTTAGTCATTTTACATCTAAACTTATTTTTACATTTATTATCTAAATAAGTTTCAATTTCTCAAACTGATTTTTTTACAAAACTTAATCTAAATATAAATCACATTACATTATTTGGTTTTTACTCAACCTGATTTCTGTAAAAGTCAAATTGAAAAAAAGTTACTTCTAGTACCACTATCCCAAATACACCCATTATCAGCCAAGATTTCCTGCAGCTATAGTTTTCTTTTTACGTACATACTAATGTTGCAATTTAAGCTCATTTATCTCACTTTATATATTGACTTTTTATTTTATTTTAAAAAAAATCTTATGCGAGGTCGTTATAAAATGCTGATGGAAGATTTTAGAAGCATGAAAAGGGCCGGAAAGATTCGTTCAAAATGCTGCCTCTCCCTTCCAGTTCCAGGCTCTTCCTGTCGTCGAACCCCCCACTATTCCATTTTCTTCCTGCAACCTCCTTCGCGATTCCAAACCCAAAGCCTTTGACCCCAATCATGTCCTTCTCTTCTCCTGCTTCATCTTCAGCTGCCCCCTCCAAAGCCAACCCCAGAGAAGAACACAACTTGGATGAACACAAACTCTCGCAGGTACTCAAGTACCACAACCAAACCAAACACTCCTTCAACAAGTACGCCAGAGGCCCTCACGGCCTCGATTGGGCCAACCAACCTAACCCATTTCGCAGGTATGTGTCTTCTCCTCTCCTTCCTCTTTTACACTACCAATCGTTGCCGATTGAACCTCCTTTGTATTCCTCTGTGTTCCTTTCTCTTCCTCCTGCGAAACCCCTTTCCAAATCCACCATTTCTCAGTTTTTCTATGACTCTCTCGCTCTTTCTGCTTGGAAAACCACAGGATTCAGTACATGGTCTCTCCGGGTTAACCCAAGTAGTGGTAATTTGCACCCAACGGAGGCCTACATTATTGCCCCTCCCATAGAATCCCTCTCTGACTCACCTTTTGTTGCGCATTATGCCCCAAAGGAACATGGTTTGGAGGTCAGAGCCGAAATTCCATCGGCGTTCTTCAAAAAATTCTTTCCCCAGAATTCTTTTCTTGTTGGGTTGTCATCGATTTTCTGGCGTGAGGCATGGAAGTACGGTGAGCGAGCTTTTAGGTATTGTAATCATGACGTAGGTCATGCAATTGCTGCGGTTGCAATGGCCGCTGCAGGGCTTGGCTGGGATGTGAAGCTTATGGATGGATTGGGATATGAGGATTTGAAGAATCTAATGGGTCTTCAAGTTTTCCCTGAATTTGAAATTCCATCAAGACCTGTGAAAGGAAGGATTCCAGAGATTGAATTTGAGCATCCAGATTGCGTTTTACTAGTTTATCCGAACGAAATTGGCAAATTTGACGTGGATTATAAAAAATTAAGTTCTGCTATATCTGAATTTTCGAAATTGGAGTGGAAAGGAAAACCCAATTTGCTTAGCAAAGAGCATATATGTTGGGATATTATCTATAGGACTGCTGAGATTGTGAAGAAGCCTTTGACATTGGGACAAAGATTCTTTATCGATCCATTTCAAAAAAGTTGTCTTTACAGTGAACCCTCGTACAAGGGTTTTACATTGAGGAAAGTTGTTAGGACACGTAGAAGTGCAGTTGATATGGATGGAGTTACTCAAATGGGGAGAGATACATTTTATCAGATTCTATCACATTGTCTTCCTTCAGGTTGTGAAAATGGAGAGAAGCAACAGAGGCAGCTTGCATTGCCATTCCGGGCTTTTCCATGGGATGCTGAAGTGCATGCTGCTTTATTTGTCCATAGAGTGCTGGGTTTACCACAAGGCTTGTATTTTCTAGTGAGGAATGAAAATCATTTTGAGGAGCTCAAGAAATCTATGAGCTCTGACTTTGTATGGGCCAAACCAGAGGGCTGCCCTGATGATTTACCTTTATATGAACTCTCTAGATGCAATTGTCAACAGCTTGCCATGCAGCTCTCATGTCTTCAGGTGAATAATTATCTGTGGTTGTGTTGCTACATAAGGATGAAAGAAATGGTCTCTCTTTCTTTTGGGATTTTTGGTTTCTTTAGTGTAGAAGTGTTCAAAACTTTTTTTTTTTTTTTTGGGGGGGGGGGGGAGTTCGTAAAAAATTATTATATTCTTCATAGTAAGGTGTACTGGCTTAGTGAAATACTTCATTTCAATCAGTAATCTGCTAACAATTTCAGACATGACATCCATTTGGTACCTTTCGTAATTATTGAGTAAACTGGTGTTGATTTTTCTAAATACTAATATCTTGATATCTGAACATCTCTTGTTTTATCGTTATACTGGAAATACTAAATTTCTGGGATATGAATTATTTTGGGGTTTTCTGTTCACATCTTGTTTATTATTAATATCTCAAATGAGTTTTTCCTGGTTTTTGAGTGAAAGTTTTACTTCTAACCATAAGCTGAACATTTTTCATATTTCTCTCCTGTTAAATGTGTATCCTTACTTGCAGGATATCGCTGGTGATGGTTGCTTCAGTCTTGGCATGTTAGCTCGTTTTGAGCCTACTTTACGTGAGAAGAATATGTGGATGTATCCTCGTTTATTTTGGGAGACTGGAGCCCTTGGGCAGTTGTTGTATCTTGAAGCACATGCTGTTGGAATCTCAGCAACTGGGATTGGTTGCTTCTTTGACGACCCTGGTATGAATCATTTCCATTACCATTTCTTTCAAGCTCTTGGTATGCGCTGTTTCAGATGGTAATTTTGTGGATGTTTCCTGGAGTTCATCCAAAGATGAATCCTTTAGAAATATCAAAACTGAACTCTATAAAGTTTAATCATGTCAAATTACCATTAAGCTAATTGCATTTTGCATCAACTTATTGGTTGTAAATATAATTCACATAACACTTCCATGCCTCATGTTGCTTAGAAGTGTTATGGTTTATTCGATAAAATGTCATGTTCCTAATCCTTTTCTAATATTAATCTAAGGTTCATATAGATTGTGAGGGACTTTATCCTGATCTCTAATGAAAATTTAGGTGGCGGTACAACCCCTGCACTTTCTATTTATAACATCACAAGATTTTTTTGGAGTTATTTAGAGTGGAAGAAAGAGACAATATTATTATAAGGGATGGATGAGCTAGAGACTTTTTGTTATTCAATGTGGTGCTTCTAGTTTGCTCAACCGTGAGGCTATATAGCGAGAACATACTGGATTACAGTAGAAAGGCTCTTGCTCTTCAATATAATACAATGATGAGGCTCTGAGTTTTGTATCCTTTGAAACACATTTCATTGGAACCAATGATGTATTGGTACTAATGAAAATGTTAGGAAACTCTTGGACTATGGACATCTTATTACCTATGGACCTTAATTTGTATATTTGAAGGGGCACTAATCATATTCTGGAAAGAGAAAAGGCCAAGTATAAACTTATGTGCACGTTACATCTGAAGATAATCTTGTCTGAAATAGATCTTTTTAGTAAAATGTACATTTGTCATCCTGTCACGTTTGTTCAGAATAAACTTGCTCTACAGAATTTTATGGATGGTGTTTTAAAAATATATATAGATATATTTTTTTGTTGTTATATTGTATAATCCTGAAAAGTCTGAATTCTTGTTGGTTGCAGTGCATCAATTGCTTGGGTTGAAAGGGTCAAACTTTCAGAGTCTGTATCATTTTACTGTTGGAGGTCCTGTGTTAGACAAGCGTATTATGAGCCTACCAGCATATCCTGGTCCTGACGTAGATGGTTAGGGCCTGTTTGCTAGACCAAATAGAATAAATTGTCTCATACAGGGAAGAACCAGGCTTGAAGAATTAAGGATAGCCGTCCTCCATCTACATATAAAGATTGGGGCATTGTATATGTTGATCCTTTTCAAAATGTGAGTATTGACATTTATGAATTTAGATGCAGCCTCCTAATATTCACTTAATGCTTATACACATATTTGAGTAGAGTTATATATGTATATAGTCTTATTGCTCTAAATTTTTCAGTTTGTTTCTTTTTATAAGTCTCCAACACAGGCTCTACTTGTGCTGTATAACTTTGATTGATTAGCACTGTTTGGAGGACCACAAAATGAAATGTGGCTTGTGACTTGTAACAACTGTATCTAAAAGTTCCTTCACATAGCACCATAACCAGATCTTCTGGTGTAGAAGAACGTTTGCTATATCCATAAAATCAATTGTCTCAGTTCAAAGAAATTAAAAATTTGTATGTGAACACTTTGTTTGAAAACCACAAGTTTTCAGAATCGCCTTTTTTTAATGTCAATGATATTAAGGGATTCAACTGTTTTTATAAATCTCATGTAATAGAAGCTGCAAAAACTGACATGTGCATTCAATTTTGGGGCGGTTTGGTCTGCTGATTTCGAACCAAGGATAGCAAATCACGGCTCTTCTTCATCTTCACACACAAGGAGACTTGCTTCGTGCCATCTATTGGAGGAGTGGAGACAATATCAAAGGAAAGGGAAGGGTATGCCCTTCCCTCCCCTAACATGCTGCATTCTAATGTTTGATTCTGATGTTTGTTCCTTAAATCTGAATGTGGCTTTCTTTGAAGCCTCGAAGCATGTTTCACTTTATTTCGGTGGTTGTTGTTGATGGGTTGAAGATGCATGGTGTGGTATTAGTTCAGGTTTGTTGGCATTCTGGGGATTCGAATTCTAATATAAATAAATTGTGGATTTTTCATTATTTCTTATTGTTATTGATTCTGGGTTTGTTTGAAAATGCTGCTTTGAGGAGCTTTTGGCTTCTTTCTTTGGCATTTCTCTCCCACTTTAAACCCGTTTGCCATCCAGAAATCGTGGGGCGTTTGTGACATTGCCATGTAGGTTATTGTCTCAGGCTTTTTTAGCATTAGACCTGGCCCAAAGTAGAACATAAAGCCATCATGCTGTGTTTCATAGCTGGGGTAATGGTTATGTTTATACTCCATAGGTCTTAAATATAGTAGTTGGTTGAGAAAAACAAGAAGGAAGGTTCCTTGGAAGACAAATAATCCCTCCAAGAATCATGTTTTTCCAATTTCTAATTTTCTATTTATACTGTGCTTAATATTCTCTGCCTATTTATCTTAAGTTTGAGTTTAATTTTCTTCTAGTCAAATAGAAATACAAAAACTACTGAAATTATTAATTGAATATATGTATATTCTATGACATTGAAATCCAAAAACAGTGCTATAGTTATGGTGCTCCAATTTCTTGGCGGTTAAAAAAACAAAAAGTAGGTAAATAGTTTTTTTTTCCCGCAATATACACACTTGTATTATCGTGAATTTTCTAAACATAGTAGAAAAAGAATAGAAACAAGCAAGGGCTAGAAAAAAAACAAAGGGTCTATTACTTTGAAGTCATATTAATATTTAGAGTTTGCCTCGATTTGGTCGCAGCCTGCATTGAAACGGTGCTTAGTGAACTGTTACGTCTCAGCACATTTCAAGAAAGCAGCTAGCTTTGGGTTTGAGTGCCATTTCACTACTAACCACGACTTATCATAATCTTTTGATTATACATAATTACACAGGGAATATAATTAATTCTATTTTAAAACTTAATAATTTTCAAATTTTATATTTATTTAATCTGTATACTTTTCAAAAAAGTAACAGTCAATGAAATAATAAACGAAAGATAAAATTATATATGTATACAATAAATTTGATGGGGTAACATACATTAAGGGGGGGACTCTCTCTACCTTATAAATAACTAAATAAAATGAGAACGGTATTTCTTTGTCCTGATTCTAATGGAGTTTTTGTAATTTTTCTTTTTTGAAGTCCCGCATAGTATTTGAATGAGAAATTATTGCATTTTTCGTATATTACGTATAATTATTTGTTTCCCATTAAATCTGCAACTTAGATGAAGGGACAAGGGAGTACATGAAAGTTAATTTTATGAACAAAAAATAATATTATAAAAAAATTTGAAAAATATATGAATTCAAATTATTTTAATTTTGCCAATATAACTGTTTAAAAGATTTTAGAATAATATTTATTTAAAACAGATCTTGATCTAAAACAACAGGAATTAATATCTAACTAACAATTATGTGGATGGAAAAAAAAAATCTTAAAATTGGATGGAAGGTTAATGTAACATAACTTTTTTCTGTTGGGAGAGGTCTAAATTTTTTTTCCCGGAAAAAAGGGATCAGAATTAAGATATAAAGAGGAGCTAAGTGTATATTTTAAATAGAATAAAGCACACTTTCTTATATTCATTAGATCAAGTTTATAAGTGAATTTACAAATATATTGTATTACTCAAGTTACTTATATCTGTCAGCTCAAGTTTATAAGTTAATTTACAATTATCCATATATATTATAACGGCTAATGACCACAAAATGACAAGTGTAATTTGGAACATGTGCTTGAATCAGCAATAAAGTTGTTGCTTACATTGACGAGGCCTGCCCTTCCAACCCTTTGTTTCCAACCAACCCATATGAGTATGCCCAAGCCCGTTTACGGGTTGATTATGAATGTGTTTGGATTAACAATAGTAAAAGTAATTTTTATTTTATTTGACTTTTGTAAATGGAAGTTGGAATAAAAATCAGTTAGCGTAATGTAATTTATATTTATATTAACTTTTATAAAAATCAGTTTGATAAATTAAAACTTGTTTAAATAGATAAAGAAAAAGTAAGTTTAGATATAAAATGACTAAAAATGACATAAATTTTAAAATGACCCATAGACTAATATGTAATGTAATGGTACATATAAATATTTTAGAAAGATCATGTAATTTAGTTAGCTTTCTTAATTTGTTCAAATTAACCTATTAGGATCTTTTATTAAGGAGCGAAGGTATCATATGTAAACAGTTTGATAAAATTTAGAAAATAATAAATTAAAATAATTAAATTTTATTAGTTAATTTTTTCTTTTTTAGAAAAACAAACACATCAAATTATTGGGTCAAGATAAGACCCACTTAAATACCTTTATCTTTCTTTTCATCTTCATTGATTTCTCTCTCCACGTTTGTAATGGAAGAAGCTCAAATTTTTAGCTTTTCCTTCGACATGACTTTTTCCCGTAAGCTCATTTAGTTTCATCTTGAATCCAAACATCATTTTACCTGCAAATCACACAATAAGCATAATGTACATTTTCCAAGGCACGTTGGAGAGGCTCAAACGACGCTCCAAACATGCTCTATATTGACAAAATAATAGGTTTCTCCCGTATTTTATCTGGGAGAAAAACTTATGTCAAATTACTTATTTTTTGTTAAATCAAGTTCAAAAGTGAATTTACAAGCATACTATGCATTTTAACAACTAACAATAGCAAAATAACAAGTGCAAATAGAGAACTTGACCTAATAAATATAAACAACTTGCCTAGATTTTGTCCTTTTTATCTATACATGTTCTTCTCTTCTATATTGAATTTATAAAACCGTAACCCTAAGATGATAAAATATACTTGTATGCATGACTAAAACGCAAATTTGTATGGTTTTTATTTTTCAACGGGTTTCTGAAACTGGAAAAGGAATTTGGCTAGGCAACGGAGCTGAAGAGCAAGAACCTGCCAAGAAGAGCTTAATTGAGGTAGTCAAGAACAGGAGGGGGCTCTAGGTGACAAAGATTTCTTTGGCGGAGATGCATTTGGCTATGTGGACATCATAAGGTCCAGTCTCATGGTTTTTTGCGAGAAGATTGAGGGACTCTTATTGGAAGATCATTGTCCCAAAATCTCATCCTGGGTGAAGAGACGCCTGAAGAGACGACCTGCTGCTAAAATCTACTTAGGCTTAGAAAATGGTTCCCCAACTTGTCGTCAAATTACCTGAGATCATGGGCTATAAACTCTAGAAAAAATTTACATATTGCTGGAATAAAAAAGAGAGAATTGAGTGAAGATCAATTTATCTACTTTCTTATACTCCACTAACAGGGTTTGAGTTTACTAGAAGGGGTTAGTCCTTTATAACATTTAAACCAAGGTTTGAATTCCCATTAAGAGATATGCTTACATTTAATGCCTGATAGTACCTCGAATAGAATTAACTTCAATAGGAAAATACCTACACCTTAAAAAAAAGAATTTTCTTTTATTCAGGATTGAGTGTTGACAAAGTGTTGTTATTTAGGGGGTGTTTGGCAATTTTTCCAAACCATGATTTGGGAACCCAAACTATGGTTTGGGAAAAATTCAGCCAAACACCCTATTTTAATTTCAAACCATGGTTTTGCCCCCAAAACCATGGTTTCGGATGAAGCTCTCCGGAGCTGCTTTTGGCTTCAAATTATTGATGGCTGATGGTGGGCCCAAGAAATATTACAGAGAGCAGTGTCAATTATTTGCCATTCCTTCACTCTTCCTCGATCCTACGCAACAGAGGTCCTTCACTCTCGGTGCTTCACTCTGAAGAAAACAGAGCTCTTCGGTCCTTCACACCTCTGTCCTTCGCTCTTCGGTCCTTCACTCTCGGCGGCAAAGCACACTCGGCGGCGACAATTTGTTCCATCCTTGCAGAACTCGGTTCTGTAACGAGAGGGGTGAAGCCAGCATTCAAACACTCCGTGAGCAAACTCACACGATTCACCTTTCTTGCAGTTACCTTTGCAACGAGAAGTTCTTCTCTGTGTGCTGCTTGGGTATCACCAATCAATTCAGCTTTCCCACTTTGCTTGGAAGAAGGTATATGATATTTTGGACCAGAGGAGCAGTGAAGAGGAGAGAAGTGTGGGAATAGAGGAAGAGGAAGGAATATATATATATATATATATATATATATAGGGAAGAAGGTGTGGGGGGGGTAATATATAATATTGGGGATAAAATGAAATGAAAAAGGAGAGTATTAAAATTATGAGGGGATAAGTCCAACTATGCTTTAAAAAAATCTATCGGTTTCATTTATTAGATCAACATCATTTCTGATTATGGTTTCATTCAGGTTCTTATGCAAAAGAAAAAAATTATGGGATTTCATCTTTAAAATCTTTAAGAAATAATAATATTTTTTTTGGCAAAATAAATCATTTTCCTAAAAACATATTTAATTATTTTATTAATATATATACACATTATTTTTTTATTATTTATGTCTTATTTATTATGTTGTCAAAATATATATTATTAACAAATTTATTACTTCAAATAAATATATATTGTGAAATATATCTTATATGTAATTATCATTTAAACTTATGTCCTTTTTAGTAATTTCTACATATCAAAAAGCACTTCTGACAACAACTATCCAAACACTCTCATTTTATTAGAATCACTTTTTCAGAAAATTTATTCTTTCAAAATCTATTCTCTTCAAAATCTATTCTCTAGAAGCTATTCTCCAAACCATGGTTTGGCCTCATCCAAACACCCCCTTAGTTCAACTCTAATAAGTTGAATTGTGTGTCATACTTTGTAATTATCGAGTCATTTGGTGCAAAAAAAAAAAAGTAGTTATTATTGGGATCATGTTTATAATTCTCTGTAGGAATACCATGAACTTGTGGGTTGGTTTAGGCATATGGTATCTTCCAAATTTCATGAAATAAAATCTTTTCCCCGGCTGGTGTACTTATTTATTGAAGTTCAGGACCAGCCTTGAGTAAGAGTGAGCCTGGCACTATTGTTTCAACTTCATGGGGGAAGCCTAAATTTTTTTTTTTTTTAAAAAATGGCTTCAAGTGTAGAATAGTATTGATATATCTCAATATATAGTTTTAGGGAAAATCTTATGATTAAATATCGCATGAATTTAAGACATCAGAGAGTAATTTATAAGTTACCTTTTTTAAGTATTTCTTTTTTTTTTTTGAACCTAAGGTATTCACATACACATCAGAAATCAAATTCCTGACTAGATGCTTAAAAAATCTAATTAAGTGCCAATTGTACTAGGTCTCGTAGTTTACATATGCTTAAGTATTCCTTTGCCATGGTAACTTGCACTAACTTTCTTAAAACACGATTATATTAAATGATGACCTCAAAATTTAAATAAAATATTAATATTGGATGGTTTTATTATCTATGCCATGGAAAAACAATTTCAAGAATTGATATTTCCAATAAAACCATTAAAAACAACAAGTTTAATCCCAAGTTGGGTACATAAATTGTTTTGAATCTCTTATTGAAGATCCTCACAAAGGAGTCCTTGGTCTTTGGGCGAGAGCACATAATGGAAAGGGTTACAAATAACAAATAATAAAAATTACCACGATAAAAAACTTAAAAGCCAATTAGAAATGCTGGTAAAAAAAAAAGCCAATTAGAAAACATTTATCAATAAACTTTACTAAAGCAGAAAAGAACAAAACATAATAAAAGATGGTCTAACTTCACTTTTTTAAGCACCCTAAGGGACCAAGTCCTAACGTATAATCGGTTTTTTTTTTTTTTGGTTTGAAGCCTAAATTTCAATGATAATTCTATAAGCGCATACAACACCATATTAAATCCCTTAATCCTCATCTATCATATAAAATTCATATCAATATGCACAAAATCTCCCATCATAACTCCATAACCATACATCAAAGACAAGCAATCACATTATGACATGTGAATTTTTATAAATTTTGCTATTATTAATTGTTAAAATATGTATATAAACTTGTAAACTTACATGTGTATACTTTTAAATTTTTAATTGAAACACATGATTCTGCAAATTGAAAGTTGTAAAATGTCATATGTACCGCTCTTCCTTATATGTAAATCATTTGTATTCGAATATCGCATACTAAGAAATATATTAAATTGATGCCATTTTCATATTTGTCCCTATTAAAGAAAATGCGCTAAAAAAATTGTATTTAAGAGGGAGAAAATTGAAAAAAATATTATTAATTACTCCATAAATAACTTATATTCAGGAATAAAGTTTTCTCCCATACCTTACCCAAAAAAACAAAAAAAGTTTTCTCCTACAAGGCATTTTTGCCATTTACCATCAAAGGAAAATTTTAGAATTTCAAAATTTTTTGGAGGTGAGTTGAAACAGGGACACTGGTAATCCTTTGATGAAATTCACCATTTTTAATAACCTAAATTAAATGTACTTTTTTAATAATAAAAATAAAATAAATAAATAAATAAAGAATAATACATTCTCATCACGTTCTGCTAGGGATTTTGAGGCAGAACACAAGAAGCCTGAAGCCATATGAGATTAGACAGACGGAAGGACTTGACCGTAATTTGGAGGCTGATAAAACCCTCGACATCTCATCTCCAAAAATTTACTCTCACTGCCAATGGACTCGTCTTTTCCTCCTCCGTATCTCTCCGACGCTGCAATGTCGCAGCAGGGCCAAATCCCCTTAAACCCCATGGTTCCTCAAAACCCAATGGTTCCCATGCCCATGCAGGTTCCTATGCCCATGCCTATGCAGATGCAGATGCCGTATCAGATGCAGATGCAGATGCAGATGCCCCTTCACATGCCGTTCCCGCTGCCCCTTTCCGCCCAGGAAACCGGCCAATCCGCCTCCGGAAAGCGCCGCCGAGAAGACGAAGCTCCCGGCACTGAATTGGCGGAGCAGTCGGCGGCGAAGAGGGCAAAGGGTCAGGATGTGATATTTAGGATCGTGGTGCCGTCGAGGCAGATCGGGAAGGTCATCGGCAAAGAAGGTTGTCGTATCCAGAAAATTCGAGAAGACACAAAAGCGACCATTAAAATTGCTGACGCTATTGCTGTAAGTCTTTATCAGGTTTCCTGATATTTCTTGGGTGCTTAAGTGAGGGAGAGAGAAAAGGGATTAAGTTGTATTCGCTCTTCTGGGCAGAGCCATTTTTTATCTTATATTGATGCTTGTTGGTAGCTAAATAAGGGAGTTTAAGTAGCAGTGTGAACATTTATGAGGGTAATATCTTGTTAAAGAAGTGACTCGCACAACAGTTCGGAATATGATGAAGGAGCATTCTTTCATGGATGAGCATTTTAGTTTTCGAACATGTAATTGTTTTTCTAACCTTTGGTGACTGATAGATTTCATGAGAAAACTAATTTACCGTGGGCATTTTGGAAATTATGAATGTGCTCTGGCATCGACAATTTTGTTACTTTAAGATTGTATGAATAATTGAGTATTTCCTTAGTGATCAATTCGTTAGGTGCATACAAAGCATGCTTTTACTTGACTGTAAGGGGAGGTGTTCTTTTAGTAATAAATTGCTAATGTACCCTCTTTTATCAAGTTTTTATATCCTATTTACTTTCTAATCTTTCTTTCTTTCTTTCTTCTTCTTCTTCTTTTTTAACGTCTGGTCTGTGGTATTTTTATTTTTATTTTTTAAATTTCTGTATTATCATTTTCTCGTATCTATTTTTTTGAGTATGAAGGAAAGGAGAAACTGTGACCATCTTCATTTATGAGAACTTCTTTTAGTTACTGATATTTTATACATTGCCTGCTTCTTCAGAATAGCATTTGGCATGAACGGCCTGTTATGTCTGGTTTTTTACTCGTGGATTTTCAGAGTACTACCATTTACTGAGCCCAGTCTCACATTTTTGTTTGTGTAGCGTCATGAAGAACGAGTTATCATCATTAGTTCAAAAGATAATGATGAAAACATTACTGATGCTGAGAATGCTCTTCAGCAAATAGCCAATTTGATTCTAAAGGTAATGGCATTCTCATTTTAGCATTGTTAAGTCTTTATATCTATCACTATTGAACATGAAGTCTGATGGCCGTGACTATAATTGACCGGTCAATCTGAGTGCCATTATCTCTATTTAGTTTTCTCTTCATTCATTAAAATAGGGGACCTTGACTATCAATTTTATTCAATACAAGCTCAGTCATCTCAGTCTATCATTTTTCAGGATGCAGCCCATAGTTCTGTAATATTGTTTTGCAAGATCGCTTTTAGTTTGTCAGAGACAACATTTTTGAGACCATTATATTTCTGAATTTCAATTAATAATTGATGGGGCCTTGTTGATCTTTTTTTAACTGTTCTTAATTTGTATAAAACATATGCATCTTATAACAGGAAGACGATATAAGTCTCGATGCATCAAAAGTCACTGCAGGACATGTGGCTGCCAATACAATAAGGCTTTTGATTGCTGGGTCCCAAGCGGGTGGTTTGATTGGGGTATCAGGTCAAAACATTGAGAAGTTGAGAAATTCCTCTGGTGCCACAGTTACTGTTCTGGCGCCAAATCAGTTGCCTTTATGTGCATCTGCTCATGAATCTGATCGAGTAGTGCAGGTGGGCTTCTGATACTTGGATTCTTGTCACTTAAGATAACTGGATTTTCCCTAAAATGTTGTGATTTCAACATATTTACTAATATCATCCTTCTTGTACTTTGTGTGACTTGACAGTTTTTAAAGAAAATTGATAAAATGATTTAATTGTGCTGTTCTCTTGAAACGAGTCTTTTCAAAGTGTATATAAGTATTTTTAACTTGCTTGTTTGGATTAGCTTTTGTTGTTGATGAGAAGTCTAGGAACCTTCTTGTAGTTGTTTGTGGAATATTTCACTTTGTTTTGGCTGCGTTTATTGGACTCTTGAAGCAACATTTCCCATCTTTGATTGGTGTTTCAAAAGATACTAACAATGTAGTTATGTTATTAGTTGTTTGGTAGCTCTGTTAATTAATTTGTCATCACTGTTGTGGTTGATAATGATATATGTTCTTTAGTGTTTAAGAATTAACTGCTTGATGGCAATATCTAGCCATAAATTCTACAAGTGTTGTGTGCTTTGTATGTGATAAAGTTGATTTGTTATTGATAATGCTACTGTTGAAACAGACCAAACCACATTGCTATATAACTTTAGGGAACATGGAATGCCTTTGAAATTTAACATTGCTAGAAGTTTTTCTGTTCTAACCCTTGCTATTATCTCCTTTGTTGTTTCAAATTTGCTGCTGAATTTTGACAAACGTTTTGCTGAATTCAGTTATCAGGAGATGTTTCTGCAGTGATGAAAGCTTTGGAGGAGATAGGTTGTCAACTAAGGTCTGATAATGAACCTCAATGTGTTTATATCAGTGTTTGTATAACATCGCTTTCAGAATTAGTTTGTAGCTTTATGTGACCCGTATTTCAACTTTAACGTGTTAGGGAAAACCCTCCTCGACAAGTGATTTCAATCAGCCCAACATACAATTATGCTGCAATACGACCACCTCAACCATATCTTGACCCAACTTCAGGTTATTTAATGTTTTCTATATAATACTTCTAGCTGTGAGTTAGCAGTTGCATCAAGTTTTGAAATATTGTCTTACAACCACATCATCTTTAGGACAACCAATCTTGCAGCTGATTATGTTACCTTTGAGATGCTGATTTCGGAGACATTGGTCGGTGGGTTGATTGGTAGATGCGGCTCCAACATTTCAAGGATCAGAAATGAATCTGGAGCAACAATCAAGGTGGGATATTGTAATTGTCTGGCACCTCAGTTCATTTTACTTTTACTGTTTTTATGCTTGATTCTTTCTTTGCCAGAGTTTTCTTCTAATATTTGGTTTATTTCTCCATCACTGAAAATGTTTCAGGTTTATGGAGGTAAAGGTGAACAGAAGCATAGGCAAATTCAATTTGGTGGTAGTGCTCAGCAGGTGATCGTATCTATTACTGATAATTTAGCCTTTTGGTGCATATGGAAGCCAGTATTGAAATTTAAAAAATCCTCTCTTATGAATGCATTTTTCATTTTGGTTGGTCGATTTTATGGCTTAGCTACAGGCTAGGCTCTCTTTAGTGGTTTAATGGATAACTGACTTGAGATTCATTATTGGTTTCAATATTTTTGGCCTAAATGCACTGCTAAGACCCTACGGTTTCAATAGGTGGACCAAATAACCACTTTCAGTAGAAAATGAAAATAAGGAAATTGGATCAATTGTGTTGGTCATAGGGTTTTGTTTGTTGGATATTGATTCATTTGTGTTAAGAAGGTGAAATGTCTCTCTGTTTTTTTTTTTTTTTTTGGGGGGGGTGTTAAATTATTGGCTATAGGTATTATATTATCATCAAAATTGGCCGGAAGTATGAGATGAATTGCAAAACTTGAAACACCTGGGTTTATTTGCATTTCCAATCTTTGACTCAATTGCTAAAATTTTATTTGGCTTCTGTCCTCTAGTCATGGGATTTAGATCCTCTAGGGTTCAGTTTTAACTTTCAAGTGTAGGACACACCTGGATAAACGCTGCATTCAAAATAAAACCAGTAATTTAATCTTTGAGGGGCTGTGGTCTGTAGCATCAATCAAATCTATTGTTTTATTCATTTGTTTTAAAAAAAAAAACATGGATGAGTTTTTTTTTTTTTTTTTAATAAACGAAACATTGAATCATAATAAAAACCAAGGATTTACAGAGGATCAAACGAATACAACGCTTGTAAGCACCTACTATCTTGCTATTTAAATTGGTGGGTATTCAAAGGTGCAAAAGATAGCATTAGATATTTGTGCTGTCTTATTTAATTTGTAAGCCTCGATAAGATTAATCGTCTACACAAGCTCAAGAAAACTCCAATCCCTTTCAATCAAGCCTCTTACTTCATCAATAAGATCCATGTAAGGGTGTTCTGCGGTCCATTTTTGGTGAATATATATGATAACCTGAGCGCCCTTAGAGTCTCAGTCATCACACACAGATTCCTCTGTGCCCTTTGCTCCATTGAGTTCATATTTTTATCCTTTGAGATAACGACACCGATTGGATTATCTTAATACATTTTGGCGGCCCTAAGTGGTTTACACTGTGACATGGCATCCCTCTATTTAGTTGTGGATTTTTATCGTGGAGTAATATGATGTTCCTACTTTATTGAATTTGAAGTTTGGACTCCTGAACAGGTGGCATTGGCAAAACAGAGAGTTGATGAGTATATATACTCTCAGTTGATACAACAATCTGGCGCCCAATAAGCAATGGAGGTATTATTTCAAAAGCCTTTCTACAGGTGCTTAGGTAGCGAATGTGGGTGAGGGAGACTAGGTAAATCTGATTCTGTTGTCATGATATAAAAGGGCCCTGTCCTACCCGAAGTAGATGATCACTGAAGTTTTAGTTTGAGCTAATATAAACAATATACGATATTAGTTATTGTTATTTTCTATTCACACATTGCCAAACCATGTTTTACATTGAAAAGTTATCAAACCGTGTCCTAAGTTTGGGCAGGTAAGGGATAATTAATGTGCCTCTTTTGGGAAAGGTACGGTTTTGGTTTTTTCCCCCCCATGTTAAAACTAATAAATACCCAATCTATTCAGTTTCCGGAGATGACAAACCTGTAAAATCAGGATCTCTGGTTCTCATCTATGCGAGCTGTGCCGTGAATCCAGCTTTGCTGCTTCAGAATTGGTGCCCCTATGGGTGTAAGTAGGATGTTTTCCTTCATGGTCACCATGTGATTGTTGTGGATAGAGTTTTATTAGTTTTCAAACTTTTCTGGTTGTACCGTATCATGTTTTAAATTATATTTGGAAGTTCTTTTGTTTTTGTTGTCTATAAAATATGGATACTTTTGTAATAGGCAACATTTCCTAGATGTCTGGTATGGTGATTTTCAAGTGCTTTATGCCGTCTCTAACTATTAGTTTGACAGAATTAGTATCATCAGATAATGTATGAGATGATTGGATTCTTGTTCAATTTAAAGAATTTTAGGTGAAGAGGCTGCGGCTTAAAATCAGAGTCTATGCTATGTTAGGGCCCATTAGAAAGGATGGTAATGGAATTGTATGGCAGGAAATAACACGGAATGGAATGTAGATTATCATATTTGGTGAGATCCTAGAAATCTAGGAAACATTGTGTTTTATTAAATTAAATTGAAATTATTGAATTACCAGTATTCCCTATGCCAATTTTTTTTTCTTTCATTTTTCTTCCCATGCTATTCCATGATGGCATGATCATCCTCATTTGTCCAAATTGGGGTTTAAAATTTAAAAAAAAAAGGGGAGCGATAAGACCTTAGATACAGATCAATAACCCATAAAATTCCACTCAAGTTGAGGACTGTATAGCATCAATGACTCTGAAAAAGCTATATAAAATTCGCATCTTTGTACCGGCTCATATCATTTAATGGGATAATAGGACTTGTTTGCCTTTTATTTTGGAGGTAAAAGAGGTGATGTAACAACTCGCAACAATTTGATACTTTTACACTATTTTTATCTGAGAGAAAGATGAAGGTCTTATTCAGTTATTTGTAATTTGCTATAAAAATTTTATTCATGTTTTATGGTATGTTTTAATATTTATCTTTAATTTTTTTGAATATACAAGACTTTTGGTATGGAGAAAAGTAAGCTAAAGGGTATTTAGAATAGTTTTTCAGAAATAATTTTAGAAAGTTTAGGTTATTATGAGGATTTCCAAGTACCTCCTATGTTAATCTTGAGACAACGTATTTTTTCCCTTTTTAGAAAATAATTTCTTATACAAAAAATTGTCTTAAGTTTCTCTGTAAGTTAATTTGTTGGTCACATGTATTTAATTAGACACAACAAGAATCCTAAAAGTTTTAAAATCATCTTATTATCATGACATTTGATGCATAGCCCGTATTAGTCTTATATGGTACTGTGATAATAGCAATAATTTTTGAAGTTGTTTAAAACTGTGATCTTCAGGTACTTATAAATATTTTCACGTAACTTCAAATAAAACTCTTTTCATATGTCACAACTAAAAAATTATTTTTAAATCATTTCAACTAAGTCCTTCACCGACGTCAATCTGCTACAGCGCCAAGCGTTCAAACCACGTCCTTGGCATGTCAAAGTGTTGAAGAGATTTGGAGGGTATGAAGGCGGTTTTTGAGAGAAGGAGCGCGGGTGCCAAGTGTAGGCGAAGGTGAACGAAAGAGAAGGGGACATTTAAGTAATCTAATGCACTCCAATGTATGGGTAGAGCCACCAGACCGTTTAAACGTGACTAAGTCAAGAGTCAGACTTGTATTTTGAAGCTTTGAAAGAAAAGTCAAGCTTAAAAGGACCAACCCTATAGGGCCAAAAAATAAACGGGTCATCCTGTTTAAAGCCACTAACATTTTTTTTCTAAATTTCTATATTTTTTTCTTAATTTAAAAAGGAAAACCTTGATATTTTACATATATCATACTCCTAGTTTCACTTACCCCAACCGCTCACACAGATAGCATTCGCAAAAAAAAAAAAAATCATTATAGTTGTTGGAAAAATAACAAAAAAAGGTGAAATTGCAAAATTTAAAACTAGGTATATTCACAAAAATATATTGTTATTTATAAGTTGTCAAAATCTGTTAAAATACTGTATGTGTAATTTTACGGTCTTTATTTTTCATTCTCCCATATGTTTTATACTTGAAATAGAATTGGTTAAAGAATCTTTTGAATTAAAATAAAGATATATATCATTTTTATAGTTAGAAACAAATTTAGAACTAGGGATGATGAACTCTTTTCTTTTTTGTCAGTAAGACAAATGATTATTCTTTATGTATACTATGTTTGTTAGTTAAACTATTTTGTTAATTATTTATAATTAAATTAGATCATTCTCATTGTAATTATTTACTGAACTTAGTGCTTATTTAGTTGTTTATATTTATCCTCTATTTAGTTTGTTTATTCAGTCGGCTCTATTACACTGTGGTAGATGTTTATACATGATAATGTTTATATTTGTGACTTATTTTTATTTATATTTATACCTTTTATTAGTAGTTTTATTGTTTTATTTTATTATTTCGATAAAATATGAAAAAAAAAATACATTTTAGTTAAACAGGCCAAAAGCTCACGAGTCAACCCGAGCCCGTAATCTCACAGGCCAGGCTAGGAAAAATGGTTTATTTCTAGGACTTGGGCTTAAATAGGCTGACAAGCCGGCCTGTTTTCCTAGTACTACGTATGGGAATGGTTAATGGCAAATTGTTGCGAGTGCATCAGCTTCAATTTTTTGGGAATAATTGTTGTTACGATGGAACCAAGATTGCCCGGATAAAACGCCAGTCAAACACACTGTTCACTGGAAATGGAATCCGAATTACCATTTTGAAGGTGTTAAGAATTGAGCCAAGCTATCCCTTAATTCACCCGGGTCGTGCTATGGGAAATAATCATAATATTACAAACTTAATCTGAGCCAGCCACTCATACCAGTAAACTTGTAAACCAATCATTTTGAGTTAAAAAAGAAAATACAAAGAACAATAGCAACCTATCGTGTTCGTAATTTAGTAATGAATTCCAATATATGGGAATGAGGGATGGCGGAGTGTTCACAAATATATATACATGCATGCATGCATCCATCCATCGATATAATGGGGTGGGTTGCTAACTTGCCTCCAAGTACCATTTTGTACTCTGCATATTACCAATAATCTCTCCGCACAGAAGGCTCACTTTTTCATACAATCGGAAAATGCATCAAAAATGGAGAAGACTTCATTCTCAGAGCATATGCCACCATATGTAACTTGTTTTGTTTGAAAAATGAAAATAATAGTATTTGCAACTGTTGGGAAGATAATTTATCAATGACCAAGAAAATAACAAAGAAACTTATACGTAACGTCTCAAAGCATAATTCCATGGTTACAAAAACACAAGGCAGGCAAAAATGCTTGCTTTTAGACCAAGACAAGAAGGATATTGTCCCTGAAGCTCCCTACTCCTAAAGGCACAGTAGCTAAGATGATCAATGCTCTTCTGCAATTAGATTGAGTCAAACAAAATTAATACCACTCAAGAATAACATTAGAGCGTCATTTATGATCAAATTTGAACAGAAGTTACAGACAAGCTTTTACCATTGTTAAGAGTTGATATTTAGTAGACTCACCAAGATAGTTCTTGTACTGCCAAGTACTTCTCAAGTCTGTATCCTGAAATTAAGCATGCAATATGAAAAAACAAAAAGAAATATTAAATATCTAACAGAATTCAATGATCAAAGCAAGTTACATGACAAGGATCGTGTTCATTAGATTTATCATCCCTAGGCAAAGTACCTAGGAAGTCCTCTAGAGTCTCCAACTGAACTAGCATAACATTTGATATCAGAGCAGGTCTCCTTAAAAAAGACTTAACTGTCTGAAGATAGATCCTAAATGGCAGGATTTGGCGACAGCGTGCTATCTAAAGGATGTTCAACGATCAAACCACTGGGTTTCAATGGAGAGAATTTCACATTCTAAAAAATGAGAATGAAGATCTTCATTAAAACTTCAAAGTATGGTCTATGGGATGTAATAGAACACGGCAACTATGTTCTGATGAAGATCGTTAACAATCAATAAGTTCACAAAAGTTCGAGCAAGTACAATGATGAAGATAAAAGACTCATTCTGCTGAATGATAAAACAATCAATATGCTGGCTTGTGCTTTGAGTCAAAAAGAATATTTTCGGGTTTCAAGCCGAGGGACTACAAAAGAAATGTGGGAACTACTGGAGATTACTCATGAAGGAACAACCGGAATGAAAAGAGCAGAATTAATACTCTCATCACAAAATTTGAATTATTCAGAATGAAAGATGGAGAGGGTATTCGAGATATGGAAGTGAGATTCTCACATCTCATCAATCACCTTATTGCACTCAGCAAAAAATAGAGTTAAAAAGATCAAGTGAGAAAAATTTTGCGGACTCATCAAAGAGTGGGAACCGAAGATGACAGCCATTGAGGAGACAAAAGGAGAATCAATTGGCTCAGTTGTTGCACTATTTGGAAGCCTGATAGAGCATGAAAGTAAGCAGAAATAGAAAAAGGAGATGAATGAGAAAACTCGCAAAGGCACTGCTCTCAAGAATCAAGAGAGTGAAGATGACAATGAAGAAGATCTGGAGGATGAGAAAATGGGCCTCATAAGCAAGAGGTTTAAGAAATTTTACAAGAACAAAGCTGGGAGAAGATTTCAATCTAAATGAAAAGCCTTCACATCTCAAATGGAGACCAAAGACCCACTAATATCTTTAAGTGCAAGAAGTTGGGACACATCAAAACAGATTGTCCTAAACTATTTAAGACAAAGGACAGAGATAAAAAAAACAAAAGAAAAATTCAGAAAGAAGAAGGCTTTCGTCACTTCAATCTGGGGAGATAGCTCATTTGAAGAATGATAGTGACGATGAAGAGACTACAGACATATGTCTCGTGGCACAAAAAGATAAAGATTTAGAGACGGAGGAGGTCTATCTTAAAGCATCCAGAACAAACAAATGGTACATCGACAGCGGATACTCCAGACACATGATAGGTGATACTGACAAATTCTTCACATTCAAACCTAAAGAAGGTGGCAAAGTAAGCTTTAAAGGAAATCAATTTGAAAGAATAGTCAGAATTGAAAAATAGGAAGTGATAAAGGAATGAAAGTTGAAAATGTGTATTGCGTTGAAGGTTTATGTCACAACCTACTCAGTGTCAATCAGAGTACGGACAAGAAAAATTGGGTAATCTTCGATTCAAAAGAATGTTTGATCATTAGCAAAGATGACCTGCCACTTAAAAAGAAAGAATTGAATGTGAAGCTAAGAACTCTAAGGAACAATAACTGTTATACTATTCAAATTGACTCTGAGTTTCTTGAAAACTGCTTTGTTAGTAAAAATGAAGAAAATTAGCTTTGGCATAAATGACTTGCTCATATAAATATGAATCAACTTTTAAAATTAACTAAAGAGGATTTAATTATTTGTTTACCTAAAGTTCAGTTTAAACATAATATTATCTGTGATACTTGTCAGAAGGGTAAACAAACAAAGTTCTCTTTTAAATCAAAGAAGACAGTCTCAACTGAAAGACCACTCCAAATGCTTTATATGGATTTGGTGGGTCCATCAAGAGTCAAAAGTTTTGGGAGAAACTTGTATACTCTTGTGATAGTTAATGACTATTCAAGATTTATTTGGACTCCATTTCTTTTCTCAAAGGATGATACTTTTAGTGCATTCATTGTTTTTGCTAAAAAGGTCCAAAATGATAAAGGTATATCTATTGTGTCATTCAAGACTGATCATAGAGAAGAATTTGAAAACAATGAATTTGCTAACTATTGTGATGAACATGGGATCGATCATAACTTCTCAGCACCAAGAATGAGTCAACAAAATAGAGTCGTGAAAAGAAAGAATAGAGTGCTCACAGAGATGGCCAGAGCAATGCTAAACAAAAAGGAAATATCTCAAGTATTTTAGACAGAAGCTATGAGTACGACATGCTACATCTCCAATAGAGCATACATCAGAATACTACTCAGGAAAACACCGTACGAGCTATATAAAGGAAGAAAACTGAATCTGGCTTATCTAAAGGTCTTTGGAAACAAATGCTACATCCATAACAACAACAAAGAAAACTTTGGTAAATTTGATCCTAAAGCTGATGAAGGCTTATTTCTGGGTTATTCTAACCGTAGTAAAGTCTATTGAGTCTTTAATAAAAGAACTTTTACTATTAAAGAATCAATTCACGTTATGTTTGCTAAAACTGAGTTGATTTCAAAACCTCTAGATGATAACGCTGAGATTGTTCAAGGTCTTGAAAGACTGAGTCTAAACAAATCTTCCAACAAAATGCCTTTTGTGGAAAACGAAGAAAATAAAGATAATCTAATTGAAATGTTTTCTTAAGTTAGTTTAGATCAATCTAAGGCTTGGAGACATAACAAAGACTACCATATAGATCAAGTCATTAGTGAAGTCAATGAAGGGGTCAAAACCCGGAGACAAGTATTCAATGAATTGCGGTTCTCTATATTTATCTCAAACATTGAACCAACCAATATTGACAAAGCTCTATCCGATAAATTCTAGATAGCAGCTATGTAGGAAGAGTTGAACCAATTTGAGATAAATCAAATTTGAGACTTGGTACCCCAACCTAATGACCATCCAGTCATAGGTACTAAATGGGTATTGAAGGATAAGCTCGATGAATCTACACAAATCATCAGGAACAAAGCCAGACTAGTTATAAAAGGCTATAATAAAAAAGAAGGTATTGATTACGATGAAACATATACTCCAGTAACTAGATTGGAAGCCATACAAGTACTCTTAACCTTTGCCTGCATAAAAGATTTCAAATTGTATGAAATGGATGTTAAAAGTACCTTTTCGAATGGTTACATAATAGAAGAAGTTTTTATTGAACAACCTCTTGGATTTGAAGATCCAAATCCTCCGGATCATGTTTACAAATTGAAAAAAACTTTATATGGTTTGAACAAACACCTAGAGCTTCATATGAACGTCTTAGTAATTTTTAATAGAAAAAAGGTTTTAAAAGAGGTAAGGTTGATGCAACACTCTTTATCAAAAGAAATAAGAAGGAACTCTTAATAGTTCAAATTTATGTAGATGATATTATATTCGATGCTATTAACAAAGATCTTTGCCAAGAATTTGTTAGGTGAATGCAGGGAGAGTTTGAAATGTCTATGATGGGAGAATTAAACTTTTTCCTCTAATTACAAAACAAACAAAAGAAGAATGGTATATTCATATCTCAAACGAAGTACCTAAAAAAACTTCTAAAGAAGTATGGTTTGGAGCAAGCAAAGAGTGCAAATACTCCAATGAGCTCGACCATATCTTTGGATGCGGACGAGAAGGGTAAGGATGCAAATTTGATCAAGTATGGAAGAATGATTAGATCACTACTCTACCTCACAGGAATCAGATTAGATATTCAATTCAGCGTAGGGATCTATGCCAAATATCAATTAGCTCTCAAGAAATCACATGAAGAAGCCATCAAAAGAATCCTTAGATATCTTGTAAGGACACCTAATCTGGAAATACAGTATCCAAAGAAAGGAGCAGAATATTTAATGGGATACTCAGATGCTGACTATGGAGGTTGCAAAACAGATAGAAAAAGCACTAGTGGATAATGCCAATTTTTCGGAGGCTATCTGGTTTCATGGTCAAGCAAGAAACAAAACACCGTGATTATACCTTCTACCTAATCAGAATATGTTGCCATTGCAAGCTATTGTGCTCAAATACTATGGTTAAAATAGTAATTACAAGATTTGGGAATCAAGTTGAATGATATTCTAATTCTATGTGATAACATGAGTGCAATCAGCTTATCAAGAATCCTATTCATTGTGCCTGGACTAAACACATTGATATTAGACATCACTTCATTCGGGATCATGTTTAAAAGAAAGATGTGAAGGTAGAATTCATTCCTACTAAATATCAAATGGCAGACATCTTCACGAAGCCCCTTGACCAACAAAAATTCAATTATTTCCAAAAAGAATTGGGAATGATAAAGGCCCATGAGTTGTAAAAAGTCCTACATCATTTCTTTATCTTGAGTATTTAAATTTAATGTTTTGTTAATTAGAAAGCTAACTTAAGTATCATAATGAATAGAAATTTATTTTGCAAAATACTCTGTTTTGACATTGAAAAATAGAAATAAACAGAGGAGAAGATTTTCAATGAAGACATCGATAATTATGCTTCAAGAATTGTTATATTTATCGATCACCTAATTGATAATAGCATTTATGGGTCAGATTATCGATCACTAAAATATATGGAAAAAGACAGTTAGCAAATTATGAATAACATGTTTGATAATTCAGATTATCGAACACATGATCAAACAACTGAGATAAGATTTCATGCTCAAGCATAAAGGTAGCTTAAAAGGTAACCTTGATCGATCATTTGATCGAACATCGTCTTATTGATAAGATTATCAATCAACATAAACAGGTTACGATGCTTAACGGATACATTTTATAGGGTGAAGCTACTTGTGTCAGAAGCATTTATTACAAACAACCATTGTAATTACCAAACACACACAAGTGATATCCCAACAGTTACAAGCTCTTGTGTCTAACGGAAACTTGAAAGTCTCTAATTATAAATGACGCGAAGCGCATTGAATGAAGTAGAGAATACACCGAGCTACCAACTGTCAAAATTTATCTCTACATTCATTACTCTATTTTCATTTCCTGAGCTTTAATGCTTATCATATATACTCTGAGAGAAAGTTTGTTAATCTTTTTACTCAATTCTGTGAGTGACTCAAGAGTGTGAACTTTTGAGGAGATTGTAATTTTACTGATAGTAAAGGAGAGTGATTGAGAATGAGCTCAATTGCTGCACTGTGGCACCAAGAGCCTATTGAATCTTAGGGATTAGTAAAAAACTCAGAAGTGCTCTGAGAACTGGACGTAAGTCAAGTAATTGAGTCCAAACCAGTATAAATTCCTGTGTGTTCTGCTTTTGTTCATCCTCCATGAAATCCTTCTAAACTTTCTTCCTTTGTGTTATTTAGTTATTTATTTCAATAAGTCAAATTTTTATATATCACCCAATTCACCCCCTTCTTGGATTGAACAGCCACTAACAGAATGGTTACTTGTGGACAAGTCCATGAGACAAAACATTTCTCATTTCTCTATCTAAGCATATGATCAGGTGCTTCAGAATCTTCTATCATGACAACAAGGCTATTCAGATTAAAAAACACTACCTAAAATCTCTAATGACAGCCCTACACTTGGAGAGTTCTTAGTAGAGACCAAGCTGAGGAAAGTGAACAAGAGAGAAACTTACTGTCTAAATCTGGTATCCCAGGCAATACGACATTGATTCCACTAAGACCGTGTTTAAGTCCAGGATTATGAGATGTTACATTTGGCATACTGGGGGAAAAGCTACTAGAGTCTTGCTTGCAGACATTGCCACATCAATAGTCTAAATGGCAAACTACAGCAAAGTAGTAGATGTATACCCGTCCAAATAGCAACTCTATATCAACAAAATACTAATTTTACCGGGCATGAAAAGAAAAGCCGTGATTTTTAAGATGTGGCAAAGCAAGTGAAATTGAAATCTTGTCTCCATGGTCACTGAAGTATGACCTATCATTTAAAACATATCCAGCATTGAATATGAATGAATACTTGATCTCCTGTTCTTCCAATCAAATTATGTCCTGATTTCCTGGTAATTTCCACAGCATATGACAATTTAAAATGTCAAAAAAGGGGCAAATTTGAGATCTCCTTTTGGGAAAACCGAAGAGTTGGCATTTACTTGTACAAACAAAAGCTAACCTGAGGTATCTGGGAATATAAGGTTTGATTGAGATTGAGATAGAGATAGTATTTTATGTCATCAAGAAACCAAAGATAAATCATACAACCGAAAAACTCATCCTTTGGAAAGAGCAAATTAGAAGCAACTTTCTCTTTGCCTATCAAATGTGGAAAGCCCCAGTGTTGGCCTCTAGCTTCAACATAGTCAAATTAAATATACAAAAGGGTATTTCGTTTTTGGCCCCCCGGGGGGGGGTGGTTGGCGGCACAGATGAGAATTGGATTGTGAGGAAGGCTTGACACACTAGAAATATGACGTGGCAACCAGGAAGGCCTGACACACTAGAAGTATGATGTGGCAACTAGAAAATGAACATTATGAAAGAAAATTTGCCACAGTTTACTTACCCTAAGGAAAAAACCTGTAGCTAATCATGATGATTTTTGCAGTGAGAGAGTAGAACATCTAGTAGGAGTATGATACACATACTTACAGTTGTTTACATAATTAATATGTCTATATGCAAATGTCAATTCTACTTTTGATTCAAAAGCAGAATGTGAGATTGTTTGACAATATATGTATCTGATAAACTGAGAATCTTATCAACCTCTGCTACAAAGAACTCATTTCTATGTATCGTTGAGCCTCCTCTAGTCGACCATAACGTGTCAGAAGTCGGATCATTATATCATAGTGCTCTTTCGATGCTTCAATCTTATATGTACTTAACATTAAATTGAAGATATTACAAGCTTCATCAACAAATCCAGCTCTCTCACATAGAGATAGAGTTGCTTGGAAAGTGAAGTGGTTTGGAGTAAAACCTTTCGATTTCATCTGATAAAAAAGGTCAATTGCATCTTGATACAATTCATTATAACCATACGCCTTTATAAGAGCAGTCCATGTCATTGAACCCTTAACAGGGACCGCATCAAAGACCAACTTTGCTTTGCTAACATCTCCACAAGTCCCATACATATTCATAAGTTCAGCAGAAACATAATGAACTGATGCAAGATCCCTTTTCAAGACCTGGCCATGAATCTCTTTCCCAAGCTCTGAAAGTTTGAGGTCACCACAAACATTCAGCATCCTAGCTATGGTAACTGAGTCTGGCCGTTGGTTTGACAGTTGCATTGACCTAATCACATCAAGTGCTTCATATAAATTCCCATTTTCTATAAATGAATCAATCATGGCTGTCCACAAAATCACGTTTCTGTGCTCCATGTGATCAAATAGTTTCACGGAGTAATCAATTATTCGGCACTTAGAGTACATTACCATCAAAGAAGAAACTATAGATACGTTAGGTAAAAACCCATTTTTCAAGGAATAAGCATGAATCTCCTTCCCTTGTTTGAGAGCCCTTAACTCAGCACAAATTGGAAGAGCAGTAGCAACTGTGACAATATCAGGCTTGAACCCTTCTTGCTGCATCCAAATTGTAGATCTTAGTGCCTGCTCTAGTCTCCCATTAATGGCATAACCTGACATCAGGGCGGTCCAACAAATGACATTTCTCTCCATTGAGCCATAAAACACCCGTCTTCCTGAACTCAGGTCCCCACACTTGCAATACATATCAATTAAAGCAGACTGAATTGGTACTTGCTTAGAATATGATTTTGTTTTCAGTACATAAGCATGAACCTCCTGCCCTAGCCTTCGTGCACAAACTTCACCAATTGCAGGAAGAATAGTGGTCATTATAACTGAATTTGGCTTTCTTCCTTCCTCTACCATCCACCTTACATACTCCAATGCCTCCCTATACAACCTGTTATGTGCAAAACCAGCAATCATTGCTCCCCATGCCACAACATCTCTCTCAAGAGTTTCCTCAAACACACGGTGGGCAAGCCTAACCTTGCCACACTTAAAATACATATCAATCAAACTTGTCCGAAGAATGGAACTGTCAACTAAACCATTCTTAATTAAAAGGGCATGAGTCTTCAATCCTTGAAAAAGTGCAGGTGCACCAGCAAAGCTTTTGATAACACTTGAGAAAGAGTATACATTCAATTCAATCCCCAATGCGCGCATTTCTGAAAAAGTTGCAAGCACATCACGATATTGCTTCTTACCAGAAATCACAGTTCCTCTAAGTAAGGCATTCCAGGGATATACACTCCAACAAGAGCAATCTTCAAATAATTGTTTAGCTTCTTCCAAAGAGCCACAAGATGTGTACATATGTACAAGCTTTGTGCGTAAAAATTCATTCTTTTCAAGCCCATTAATCCGAATATGGGTGTGAATCTCTCTTCCCTCTTTCAAGGATTTGGTGCGAACACAAGCAGCAATTAAGGCAGAGAATGTCGTGGGGTTCACAGGGATACCCCGTTGGTCCATGTAGTCCAGAATGATAAGAGCTTTTCGCAGCTGGTTCTCCCTAGCAAATTTCTTAATGTCCTTGTAAATGGAACGTGGGTTTTTGTTGTGGAGGGGTAATGATGAAGGGAATGCATCTTTTTCTGCAAAAGGTTTCACCTTGTCAGAGGAGAATTTCTGTATTTTGTAGCCTAATGTTGGAGGTGCTTCGCAAGAAACTGAGAGAGATTGAGTAGAAGCTCTGAACTTGAATATGCGGGAACTGTTATGTTTGGTACTGGTTATGGTGTTAGAAGGGAAACAATGCAAGTGCAGAGACAGTGTTGCAGTAGCTGAAAGTGAGTTTTCCATGGCCTTTATTGACAAATATCCAATTTAAAGTTGGATGGCAGCCAGCTGATACATTCAGATTCCCTCCACTGCGCTTCACTTCACTGTGCCTCAACTGCAAGCAAACATCATTCTGATAAACAAAGCCAAACCCGGTAATATGATTGAAATCTCAGAAATTGCAAGTTTCTTCACGGTATACGATTGAGATCTAAAACTAAAGCAAACCTTTAGCTAAACGACACAGCTCCAAGCCTCTAACGGTTGACTCCAACGTCACGACGTCACAGAAAGGGGGGAGAGGGGCACCGCGAGTAGGCGACTGGGCGAGGGGGGGTACCGAGATGGAGATTGGAAGAGCGGCACGGCCTGACTGCAGGGAAGGGACGCCGGACACACACTGGTCGCTACAGAGAGGAGATGCCAGGATGGAGATTGGAAGAGGGGTTCGGACGCACGGCGAGTCGTGGGAGGCAAAACAAGGTTGTCAGCTGGCGAAGTAGGAGAAGATAACATGGATTCGCACCCGCTGGCAACAATTGAATGCCACCAGCGGTTACCGGTTAGCCTGCTACTCTGCTTATTTTTGTTTGGGAAAATTATATGCACGGAAATTAAAATTAAAATTACCTAAGAAAAATCACAAAGAAAGACTCATAATAATATTAATATTGGTTTTGACAACAATAATAAGATTTTGATAACAAATTTTATCAACAGATCCCTGTGTGTAATTTTTCTATTTTGACAGTCTTTTTTTTTTTTTACTATTTTCCCAATAATCTATATCTATATTTATTATAAGGAAACCTAAAAATTACAATTAACAATATTAAATTATTAAATATTACATCTGTTCTTTAATATAAAAACTTGTTTGATTTTTATTTTGGTTCTAAATATAAAACTCCAATCCACTTTGTCTCTTATATTTTTTTTTCAAGATAATCCTTATAATAATCATAGTTCTAGCCAATACACTTGATTAGTAAGGATACTTTAAGAAAGACAATAATTATTTATTACAAATAACCAACTTAATTAATATACTTAATCTACTCAAATTAGTCAACTAGTTCTTATACTACCTCCGTTCCTTAGTATAAAACACAGTTGACTAATTTGGAAAAATTAAAAAAATTAGTTAAGCTAATTATTTATTATAAATATGTGTTATCTTTCCTAGAATACTCTTACTAATCATGTATATTAGCTAAAATTACTATTTAATGAGACATTTAACATGTACAACTATTACAAGGACTACTTTGGAAAAAAAAAAGTAAATATAAAAGATAAAGTGAATTGAGATCTTATATTTAGGATCAAATAGAAAGTCAAATAAATTCTTATAACAAGAAAAGGAGATATTAAGGACTACTAATCATTTGATGATTTCATGGACCTGTCAGTAATAGATTCCCTTACATGGGACTTGAGTGTAATTTTCCCTTATTTAATTACACAACATGTTTCCAAGAGGCATCAACTTCCATGTTATTAACCTTAATATATTCGTAGTTGGATTTGTGAAAAGAATCATACAAGCTCAAGATATGTATACTAAAATTGTGAAACTAGGCCAAAAGCTTGATGTGGTTTTCCATAATGTCTTAATGGAAGGATACTGTCTATTAAAAATGTAGAGAAAATAAAGGAGACATAATTTTTGTAAGTGATGGGTTTGTTAAAGAGAGACTTGTAAGCGAAACACTTTGATTGATTTTAGAAATGATTTACTGCGGAATATATCCTAATACCACCATATACCATACTCTCTTATCAATAACTTTCAGAAAAATATTTTAATAGGATTATTAAAGATGGTTTGAGACTAGATGTTTTTGTACTGCTTTCATTTATGGATATTGTGAGAGTAAAAAATTGGATGATGCCATATACTACGTTTGGTTCTTAATATAAAACCTAATTAACTGATTTAGAGAAATTAATAAAGTTAATTAATTTAGTTATTTATAAGAAATAGATGTTGTTTTTTTTCTAAAATGTCCTTATTAATTATGTGTATTTGAATTACAAATTGATAATAACTCATTAATATACATGTAATTATTATATAGATTATTTTAAAAAAATAAATAAATATCAAAGATAAAATGAATTAAAATCTTATATTTAGAATTAAATTAAAAATTAAACTAGTTATTATATTAAGTATTAACAGTATTTCTTTAAGAAGTATTCGAGCAATTTAATATCGAATACTGTGACTTCTGCTTCTCTAATACTAACAGCTTAATGCTTTTCAATTTGACAGCTTCTGCAAAGCAGAAAAAAATCTTATTTGTTCATGATTTTCTTGATGAGACGTATCACATATGTCATCCCCTCATCTTTTTTGATGACATGCATTATGGTAGCCTTGCGCCTAATACAACCGGGGGTAGATAAAAGTCATAAAAAGTCATTTGAGTCTTTAAAAAATAATATTATAAATTAAAAAATAAAAAGTAAAAGTATTTAATGGCTCAACAGTGGGTGGCATGTGACCACCACTGACTATTGACTATTGGTTCATTATGATAGCCCTTCTTTGTTTCCGAAGCACATCGTGCTGGTCTTCTTGCCTCGTACCTGTGTATGCAAATGCCTAGAGAGAGATAGAGAGCGAGAGAATGGGAGAGAGAAGGAGATTTTGGGGTTTTTCTTTTTATGTCTTATGTATTAAACAATTTTATTGAGATACCGTCAAACATTGAATATTGGGTACTTCTTTTAATAAAATTCAAATTTTAATTTATCATATTATGGAAAACTAATTTTTTTCGTTAGACTCAAGTTTAACTCACTTGTGTAACAATTGTCCGTATGCTAGAGCTTGTTAGTTTGGCAGTTTTGTGGGAGTGTTGATTTTTATTCTGAATGGAATACTCGTCAATGTTTCCTTCATCGGCTTCATGCGGCTGCGGGACAACATTCTTGTACAAATTTCATTTGAGTTATTTCCTTTTCATTTGTTAAACGGTTTGTGGTTTCTTCAAATGCTGGCAAGTCTTTTAAGGCAGGACATGCAATTTCCATTGATATTATCATTCAATTAGGAAAAGATTGAGATTAATTACATTGGTAGTATATAAAACTTTCGGTTTTACATAATTATTAGGATTAAACAACTTTCTTGGACTAAGTGAGTTTAAATTTGCTTATATTTATAGACGGATGGAGTACAAGAATTTATTACTAACTTTACATGAATGAAAGAATTTTATTAAAAATAGTTTATGCTTTTAAAATTTCACTAAAAATAAGTTAATTCTTTAGACAAATGATCTTACGTTAAGAACTATGGAGGAAGTCCTTATAGCAAGGACTGGTCCATGGTCCCAAAAAAAAAAAAGGACTGGTCAGAGTAAATATCAATTTCTCATTTCATTTCTTTTATTTCCTGTTTCCATGGCAATTAAATATTCAACGTGCCAACGATATGTTGGAATACCAAGGTGGAAGCAAGAGTTTAAAATCATATCATTTTCAATTGTGAAGTTCATGATACGATAACAAGATAGGGAAGTAAAGAACATACAAGAGGATTCTAAACTGAAGAAAACAAAGTGAAATTAGAATAAAGTCACCCAAAAAAGTTTAAGGAAATCAAACTGTATTCACAGTATCAGCCAGGTACCGCAGTATGCAACCGAATCCTGCCCTCTCTGTCAATTTTTCATGAATCCGAAGGCACTGGTCACATGTTGGTCGATCTCCCGTTGCCAGACCTTTGTACAAGTACCTATTTTCAACAGCAAGGCAAAGAACAAGCTACTTAAGAGAAAATCCAACATGCATCATGTTTGAATATTTAAAAAGTGGCAAATGATACAAAATGCAAGAATGGTATGTAATTTCATGTTGGCATGCATATGGGTGATTTGCTCATTCTAAATTATAAACAGAACAAGTCTCATGGTATGTTTGGGTGATCATTTTGGAAGTCCAAAACGTGGTTTAAGGGCCAAACTAAGTTTGAAAGTGCTGAAAACCAAACAACAGCTCAGTGATCACATGGCCATGTTTACATTTGTTATATTTCTTGCCACTCATCTTTTTGTGCGCAGTATCAGCTGATGAGACTCCAATGACATCTCAGTTTCAAGTTTCTGCATTTTTCAAGGAAAAGATGACCGACGAGAAGCCATAACTTGTATTAATCATAACAGAGGGGCGTTAAAATTAAAATCTCCCTCAGAGAACCACAGATGCATTACCAATCATATTTTCTAGAGTTACCACTCATGCTTTCTAAATATATGACTTGATCTTCAATATATTATATCCTCTTACTTTGTTAATAACTTTGTAGTACTACATCTGGAAGATCAGGTGTGTAATTTTTAAGAAGCATGAACGATAATTTTACAACACACCAATGGCAACTTATTTTTATGCTATTAGAGAGGAACTTTCATTCTTGAGGTACATAGATGTTAAGTTATATGGAAGTTTTGTTTAATCAGGCAAGCCTTATCCAAGCACCACAATAGTCTTCTTTTGGCATTATCCACCTAGCATAAATCATAAGGTTTCTATCATGTATGTTTCTTTGGTGCATAAGATCAATGTTTAGGCCCCAAGGATTCTGACATGAAAAAGAGATTTTCTGATTTTAGAAGCACTACTCCCTGACTAAAGCACAGATATAGAACGCAATCAACTTATTTCAAAACCCCAAGATCTTCAAGCACACTCCCCATTGTTATAGATTTGTGACTGACAACCCCACATGTCAAGTTCTTCAAGTTAGCCATGACTAATAACCAGTGGCAAAGAGCATATAAGAAAGCTGTATTGCGATCACTTCACAATTAATAAGGGGCAAAAAATAATGGAGGCAAGAATCCTTCACAAATGTCTATCTAAAATTCACTAAAAGATGGTTAAATAATTTGTACAAGGAAGATTCTGTTCTGTCCAGCAAGGCAGTCTGGAACAACCACACAAGACTTCCCTTTTATGCAAAGCAGCCAAATTAGGCCACTACATACGCACCAAGAGTACCTCACATGCACTAAAGGTAAGGCACAGGCAACATCTTCCTTTTCTATAGTGAATTGAATGGGTGAATGCTATAAGAATTCACATATTAAAACTTATAGTTAAGAAATAGTTTATTTATAACACATGCATAAAAATAGTTTCCAATGTGAAGCACAGACCCTTCAGAAAAAGAAGCCAAGGCTACGTTATTTTAATTAACATGAAACAACAATTTAATTACATATGAACACTTCAGATTTTGTTCTGTCATGGAATTTGTGTCAGTCTAGTTGTGTCAATGTTACTGAATATCCATTCCGAGGTTTTTATAATACTATGGAGACTAAATCGGTGAGCAGAAGAGGCATTTGGAACTTCTTTACATGTCAAGTAGCAGTGATATGCATGGTTCTATCATTTACTACCACAAACAAAAATAAATAGAACATGCTTATAAACATAATGAAAACATCATAAGTTCCAACAACGTATAAAGTGAAATTTAGAAGCAGACAGCAATTGCTTTACTTGTATATTCCGCTAGTTCACAACCATTAAACATACGAAGTGAAAAGAAATTAATGGTGCAGGGCTTTTAAGATTGAAGGAAAGGAATCAATAAGCTAAATCATAAAGACAAGAGAAATAATAGATAAATTAAAAACAATTGGAATTCAGGCCCCCCTTAAAAATTGGAGTTTGGAGGGGTACATTTAAGCAATACATGAAAGAGTGAATTAACAAGTTGAAAGTAGTAGGAATTTGGCCTGAAATCAGTTTGCTCCTGTATAGTTCTAGTTTTTATCACTTAATTACCCTAAGGTATTTTATGTTGTCACTTAACAAGAACAATAACGTGAATGTTGAAATGAAGAACGACTTATTTGCTGAAAGTAAGGTCGCCTTGAACAATTCCAAAATACTTTAGGTATTAACAATATCAAGCTAAATGAAATATTCTTTAGCCCTTTTCACAGATGGAAAATTCTGGGGAACCAAACTAAAATAACTGTTGACTAATAACTGCAGAATGTTAACATTCTCCAAATAATTAATTGTTCCAACATAACTCCAAGATATTGAACACAAAATTCACGTGTAAAAAGATTTACAGGACACTCAATCACTTACTTCATTAGGATGTCATAGTACTCAGGGTCCAGAGAAGATAGCATTCCATCCACATCTTTTATAGCCATTAAAGCTCTATGTACCACAATCCAATGTGCAGACTGCAAATAGAAAAGCATCATATTTAAAAAAAAAAAAAACAAATGGTTTCAGGATTAGGAACACAAAATGATCAACAAAATAAATAGTTCAAACTATGCAGAAGAAATCGAGGCATGTTAATATGTCTACATGTCATAATCGGGACCATATGAAATTCTAAAATCAACTAATATGGGACACGTCAAAATTTAGGGAATCAAGCCAATCAAAATCTAAAACTATACACTCTTATCGTTTAATCAATCAATAATTAGAAGCTCTCCAATTATAATATAGCTAAGGCTGAATGAGAAATAATCAAGTCCCTTTTGCCCATGGAGGTTAGCTTAGAGGTATGGAAAATCTACGAAAAATGTGGGCTGATATCCGTCCTTATAAACCCTAACGGACATTCAATTTTAAGTTTGAAACAACTGACATGACCGGAGAGAGAGAGGAAAACCTTGCAACGTTCATCTCGGGTCATGGCATGAGTGCCTTCAAGAGCAGTTTTAAGTGCTTCCACCGGCTTATACCTGAATTTGCATCAAAGGTAAATAATTTTGAAGCATTCGCGCAAGAATAAGAAAATATCTTATGGTTCAATTTAGACAGAGCAGGGATAGACAGAAGATGAGGAAGAAGCCACTACTGTTTGAGTAGGCTTTCGATCTTCCGAGTTTTGTGTTCAATTCTAATCATAATGGCCTCCGCATTATCCGCTTCAACAAATCCTTCCGCTCCTGCCATTTCCTCGCCGCAATTTTTCCGAGGAAATGTTCTTCTCAGGAAAATGCCTTCCCCGACTGAGGCTTTGCTTCGATCGAGTTAAAATCAAAAATCAAAATGTCTGTCCAGGGAGGAAGCAAATCAAAATCAAGACTTTGAATAAGGGAATCGCTGGTGGATATCACAGGATCTGCACTGTTCCTCGTCCACTGCCCGAAGCTGCTGTCACGGACAAGAGGCAAGAAGAGAGGGAAGAAGAAAATAAAATAAATGGGATAATAAAATAAGATAAAATAAAATAAGCTCCTCAAAGTAGAAATGTAAATCCAGAGAATGACAGGGTCTACAACGTCATTCCAGTTTTACAGTCCCAATAATTACACTTTTTGAACCATTGTGTCCCATGGATTTCTTTTTCTTTGCCTTGTTTCGTAGGATACACTTTTCCTTTGCTTCAAAGTCTTCCTTCCTTCGTTCCCATCTCACTTGCCCCACAGAAGCTCACTCCGCCTCTCTCTTCAGCAATGGCGGATTCGAGCCCATACACCAAACCACATTGCACATTATCTCAGGCGAATTTGCCGATTCGACCAAAACCCAATATTAACAAAGGTAAGTCTTACTCGGGCTTCCTCTTCAAATCTCTTCTCTTTGCCCTATTTGTCGTTGTTCTTCCACTTTTCCCTTCACAAGCTCCTGACTTTGTGAACCAAACCATACTCACCCGGTTATGGGAGCTTCTTCACCTCCTCTTCATTGGCATTGCGGTAGCTTATGGGTTATTCAGTAGAAGAAATGTAGAGCCTGACATAGAAGTAGAAACTGAATCCATTGTTGACAATACATCTCGTTATGTCTCCACAATGTTTCCTGTTTCGTCGGTTTTTACCGATGAGGATGAAAATCCATGTGGGTATGATGAGAATAGGATGATGATGCATTGTAATCGGAATTATTCACACTACCATGAAAATAATGCTCTCATGGTTATGGATGAACAGTACAAGCCCCAATTACCTCCTCCAGAAGATAACTTCTCTGATGTTCGGTATGATGGAACCAATGTGGTTCAAGCTTGGAATTCTGAGTACTATCACAGACAGCCAATGGTTGTTGTGGCTCATCCATACTACACAATTGGTGAATTTGATGAGATTGTTGGTTACAAACCTTTAGGATTACCGGTTCGGAGTCTAAGATCTACTGCTGGAGATTTAGACAGTCCTGTTAATACCAATGAAAGTGATTCAAGTTCTGGTTCAAGGGGTTCATCTAGGAGTTCAGTTAAGAGTAAGGATAGGAAATTTGGGGATCTGAGTCCTTATGATTCGGACCAAAAATTTAATGATGCTGCTGGATCTGCTTCTCCCGTTCCACGGCATTCAAGGTCTAGAAAGAAAAAAATTGAAGAAAATCATGGAAAGTTTAGTGATGCTACTGCGTCAGCTTCTTCTGTTCCATGGCAAGAAAGGCCTGAGCGTGTGGAAATTGAAGAGAATCATGGAGATATTAATAATGTTGTGGATCTGCTTCTCCCGTTCCATGGCGTTCAAGGTCTAGAAAGATGAAAATGGAAGAAAATCATGGAAAGTTTAGTGATGCTATTGCATCAGCTTCTTCTATTCCATGGCAAGAAAGGTCTGAAGGGGTGGAAGTAGAGAATCATGGAGAGTTTGATAATGTTGCTGGATCTGCTTCTCCCATTCCATGGCATTCAAGTTCTAGAAGGATGAAAATTGACGAAAATTTTGGAAATTTTGGTGATGCTGCTGCATCAGCTTCTTCTATTCCGTGGCATGAAGAGTCTAAAGGAGTGGAAGTTGAAGGGAAAGATGGAGGGAATAATGATTTTTCAGGATCTGCTTCTCCAATTCCCTGGCAAGTAATGTCTAGTTGGATGGAGAGTGAGGGAAATCATGAGAAGTTCAATGATGTTTTTGGATCATCTTCTATTCAATGGGAAGAAAGCTTTAGAAGCATGGGAATTGAAGAAAATCAAGGAAATTTTACTGGATCTGCTTCTCCGGGTTCCTGGCAAACAATGTCTCAGGCAACAGAAAGTGAAGAAAATCACAGAATATTTAATGATGCTCTGGGATTAGCTTCTCCAGTTCCATGGCATTTGAGGTCTGAAAGGATGGAAGGTGAAGAAAATCATGGTAGCGTTACCCATCCTTCACAGTCTAGGCCTCTTCCGGCTGCTGAACCCAAATCAGAGTCGTTCAATTCACAGGTTTTCCAGAGCACATCATCTCTCTCATCCCACCGAAGCACATATTCTTCAGATTCTATTGCATCAGAAAACATGAACTTAGAATCAGAAGAGATGAGACAAAAGAAGACTTCTGATGGATCTTCTTCTGAAAAAATGAACTCCCCGGAGGAAGATTCACGAGGAAATATGGCTTCCTGTGGGTCTTCTCCAAGACTCAGAAAGAGGGCAACCAGGGAAAAATATGCTACTGTTTCTCGTCCTTCACACTTTAGGCCAATGTCAGTTGATGAAACTCAGTTTGAGTCACTTGGTTCACGATCTTTCAAGTCTACAGGGTCTTTCTCATCACGAACAAGTTTATTGTCTTCCTTGGACTCTGTTCCATCAGAAAACTTGAACCTACCCAAGGAAGGTTTAGGGGGAAATAAGAGTTCTCATGGTCCTTCTTCTTCAAGTTCACCATCACCACCAGCTAGAAGGAGAAACGAAGAAGTTTCATCACAAGCATTTCATTCTCGTGGATATAGTGTTGGCTCCTTGCTCCAGGATGGCTTGAAAAGTAACCTGAGGGATGAATGGATTGATTTGAATGGAAGTGAGAGTCAATCTCACAACAAAGATGCAGGGTTGCATTTGCAGTCGGACACAGAAAAGCATAGAAGTTTAGCCAAAGCTCCAGCAAAAGGAAAATCAGTTAGAACTAGGAGAACTAGTGCACTGACTTCTGAGACAATGAGAGAAGGAGATAGGCGCAGTAAGCAAACTGATGAGAAGGCGGAAAAGAAGCTGGGTAATGTTGAACCTGTATTGATTAGAAGAGAAAAATTGAGGAAAGGAGGACCCGATCATTCTTCCATAGGCATCAATGAACAAAACACCGATTGTCATAAGACCGAGGGAACATTTTCCAGTTATCCTAGGGGGGAAAAGGAAGAACCGTCAGAGAATGTGGCTAAAGAAGAGTTATTTATTGAGCCTGAAAACGTGAAGATGAGCTCAGATGAAGATAAGATGTCTGAATGTGTCAATGATTCAGGACTGGATTCTGAGGTTGATAAGAAAGCTAGCGAGTTTATAGCCAAGTTCAAAGCACAGATTAGGCTTCAGAAAGAAGCATCAATGGACAGATCAAGAGGGCTAAAGACAATGAAGAGAGTATTAGGTGATACCTGAAACTTCTGCAGTTTCAATTCCAGTGGGTTTTAACAGATGACATCAGATGTTTCTTAGAGATCATCTAATAATATACTGTTTCATGGAGCTTTCTCCTTTTTAACATTGCTTTCAGTGGTGCAGTTTCTTTCTATTATTTATTTCCCATACACATTTTTTCTTTCTGCACCTTGTAACGGTGTAAAAAAAGTTGTGTTCAAGTTGATTCTGGAAACAAGACATCTCATTCCTTGTAAGATTAATTGCTTCAATGCCAATGGGCAGCCTAGTGCTTTAAACGGTCTATGTAGCTAGCATCTTCATTTCAATCATGTAGACCATGGATCAAAGCCATTCCTTAATTCTGAGCTCAGGGGTGGAATCAACCTTTAGAGTTCCTTCTGGGACATCTGATAAAATTGAAATTGAAAAGAATCAACCTTCAGAGTCAAGGGTGAACTAAACCAATAGACTCACAGTATTATGTAGCGTAAGATTCCAGGTCTCTTGCATTTTAGTATTAGGATCATCCTACTGAATCATAAGTAGTATGTAAACTAACAGACTCACAGTACCAATTTGCCACTGTATAAATTACACAAAATTAAACAATGTTATGGAGCTCTGTGACCCTTTATAGTTGATCCAAGTCTGGATAAAGAATGAGAGTTGCATTAGGCTCTCAATTGCCAATATAAAAAAATTTATAAAATCAATAGTCTTACTATTTACAAATTATGAATAGTACAATTCATTCATAAAATTTTGTCTAATACGCTCACTCACATCTAATTATGATATATTTTTAGGGAGGAGTTTAGTATATTACATACCTGTTTTGCATCATCAAATGATCTTGGCATTATAAACTAATCTTAATTCAGCTATTGTTAGATCTAATCGAGGGTTAAAAAAATGCACAGAAAAATGGTTGCTTTGCTTGTAAGAGAGGCTTTAATTTGCGGACTTGGATTCCCACCAAAGAAGGAAGGTGAAGATGCCTATGAAACATAAGCTGTGTGGGTTACATGTAGGGCTGGTAAAACGGGCCAATCCGCGGGTTGCGAGTTGGCTCGTAGCAGGTTGTGGGTTATTTGGGTCGGGCTTAGAGGGCCGGTTTTCTGGCGGGTTGGTATTCTGCCAATCCTAACCCACCAAGGTGGGTTGGCGGGTCAACCCACCAACTCGCTAGATTTTTTTTTAAAAAAAATGTTCTTATAAATAATAAAAAATTAAAAAATCAGAAATGATTTAAAGTATTCTAAGCATTCACACAAAATTACAACACATTAAAACACAAAATATACAATTGTTCAAAATTCAAACTCCAAACATGATAAAACACAAGTTCAAATATAAATTTTTCCTACCTTTCCAGCCCATCTCCTAATATTTTAATATATATAAAAATTAAGAAAATATTCCCGCCAACCCGCGGGCTGACCCATGGCGGGCTCGGATTGTGGCAGTGCGGGCTCATATTTTTTAGGTGGTGGCAGGTTGACCAAAGGCCAACCCTAACCTGCCTCTTTTGGCGGGTTGGTGGGTTCAACCCGCGGGTCCAACTCATATTACCGGCTCTAGTTACATGAAGTATAAGTAGTGCACATCGTTGATGCTCAAAAGCACTTTTAAATTTTAATGTATTTGTCATAATTTGCATTTAACGACCCGCTTAATGGGATAAAGTTTGTTGATGTCATAAACTCATAATTAATACTCCTCTTGTCCTTAATATAAGACTTATTTAACTAATTTGATTAGATTAAGGAAGTTAGGTAAATTAGTTAATTATAATAAATGTGACACATTTTTCCTAAAACACCATAATCATTTTTCTTAATACCCCCTCTCCCTCTTCTACTTGATTATGGTTGAGGGAATATCCATAAGGGTAATTTAGAGAAAATTGATAAATATGAGAAATGAGTCTTATATTTAGGACCAAAACGAACTCAACAATTGGGTCTTATATTAAAGACCGGAGGAGTAATATTTTGAGGATGTTTATATTATTATGTTTTGATAATGTTTTTAAGTTTATTTTAATTTGCAGGATTAATATAAGAAACCATGGAACTTCAAGTAGGTTTATCCCTCAATGAAAAGATAAGCATATTTGGAACTGTATCCCCTTTTTCTTTTCTTTTCTTTTTAAGCGTCTGCATCCAAAATTAAACATGGCTAGCCGCTAGAATGCTGCATCATATTTGAATGAATCAGAGTATTTAGGTATAAAATATGTAAGCACAAGAAAGAATGATACTGCTCCAGTACTTAATATAATACCTATTTAACTAATTTGATTAGATTAAGAAAGTTAGGTAAGTTAGTTAATCATAAGAAATATGACATGTTTTTTTCTAAAACATCATAATTATCTTTTTTAATATCTTCGCTTCCTCTTCTATTTGATTATGATTGAAAAAGTATTCATAAAGGTAATTTAAAAAATAATAATAAATATGAGAAATAAGTTTTATATTTAAGATCAAAATCAACTCAATAATTAGGTCATATATTAAGGACCAGAGGAGTAATAGTAATAAAGGGCGAAAAAGACTTATACGCATATATTAACTTTCCGTATCATTTTCTCCTCTTTTGGAAATATTTCATTTTTAAAATTTACAATGAAAGGTTCAAACTAATTTTTAGTGGTTAGTCCCATTAGTCTGTCCCCAAAAACAAAAATACCACTATTTAATTGTTTAAAAAACAAGAGAAAGGGATAAATGATTATTTTTAAAGTTTAAAATATTTAATTTCAAATCTCACCAACATACACACGCAACCATAGACACTTTACTATTAGAGCCCCCGGTAAGAAAAGTGAGAAACTTTATCCTTAGTAGAAAGCCACACTATTTATGGCTTATAAACAGTATGACTTGGTATATGAAGGTATTCAAATTCACTGTCGAGCAAAAAGCAAGCAAATTGAAGGAGGCTTGCATTGAAGTTATCTTCTTTACAACAAAAATATTACTCGCTCCGGTTCTTATTATTGTACTCCTCCGGTCCTAATTATAAGACCCAATTGACTTATTTGAGTAGATTAAGGAAGTAAGTTAAGTTGGTTATTTATAATAAATAAGTGTTGTTATTCCTAAAATATCCTTGCTAATTAAGTATATTGGTTAAAACTATCATTATTAGAAGGATTATCTTGGAAAAAAATGTATAAATATAAGAGAGAAAATGGATTGGGTCTTATAATTAGGACCAAATAAAAAGTCAAATTGGGTCTTATAATAAAGACCGGAAGAGTATATCACTCGCTGCTCCTAACTAACAACCACTTCTTTTGGTTATAAATATACTCTAAAAAGTAAATAGCTAATTTGAGGTACCAAAGAAATCGATTAAATTGGTTACGTATGAAAATTATGTTTTAGCTTCACTAAATATTTTTTTAATCATGTATATAAACTATTCTTTGATGGGAGCTTTTAATAGATATGTTTAGATTAGTGGTGATAAAATTGGCTTTTATTTCATTTGACTTTTGCAAACGTGAGTTAGGATAAAAGTCAGTTCATGTAGCCTATCAAAAAATAAGTCAGTTAATGTAATGTGGTTTAAATTTAGATTGACTTTTATAAAAGTGAGTTTAATAGATTGAAACTTGTTTAGATGAGTAATGAAAACAGTAAGTTTAGATGTAAAATAGCTGAAAGAGTATTGTTTTTCTCTGAACCAGTTTGCCTAACTTATAAATTGATTTGTAATCTAGTGATACGTATAAATGTTTTAGAAAGATCATACAATATAAGATAAAATTAAGTATTCATTTAACTTCTATAATCTCTTCAAATTAGTTTCCTGGATCTTATATTAAAGACATGAGATAGTATATCATATATATATATATTATAATTTGACAAATTTAAGAAAAACAATAAATAAAAAATAATTAAATTATTACTAAAAAAAATTAATTATTGGATCAAGATAGAACTCCCACTCAAATACCTTTATCTTTCTTTTTAGGGAAAATTTCACCGTAGGACCGCAGAAGACAATTAATTTCAAAGAGCCCCCAAAACTTTTTGAAACTTCACTGCAGGACCAAGGGGCAAACTGATATTAATTCCACAAAGAAAATAACGCTATACCCTCATAATACTTATTGCAGGGTGACATGTAAATGGACTAATTTAGTTTAAATAAAGGTATGTTGCAAATTGACTAGTCCCATTTGCAAATGAGCTCTCTCACACTTATTCACTTACAGGCACCTTTTTCAGGTGAATAAGGTGATATGTAAATGGACTAATTCTAATTGTAAATAAATGTATGTATGTTGCAAATTGACTAATTCCACTTGCAAATGGGCGCTCCCACACTTGTTCACTCACGGAGACCTTTTTCAGGTGAAGGAAGTGACATGTAAATGGATTAATTCCAGTTGTAAATAATATATGTATGTTGCAAATTGTCTAGTCCCACTTGCAAATGGGCTGTCCCACACTTGTTCACCCAGACACATTCTTCAGGTGAAGAAGGTAATATGTAAATGGACTAATTTTAATTGTAAATATATCTATACATGTTGTAAATTATCTAACCTCACTTGCAAATGGGTTCTCCCATACTTGTTCACATGAGGGGCAATAGGGTCATTTTCTTTGTGGAATTAATATCAGTTTGCCCCCTTGGTCCTGCAGTGAAATTTCAGAAAGTTTTGGGGGCTTTTTGAAATTAATTATCTTCTGCGGTCCTACAGTGAAATTTCCCCTTCTTTTTATCCTCATTTTCTTTCTCTCTCTACATTATTAATTGCAAAAGCTTAAAATTTACGCGTTCCACTGCAACCAAGAATAAAAAACCCACCCAAACAACCCAAAAACTTTAACCTTCTGTTTGAATGGGAAGAAAAGTTGAGAGAAAAGAAAATAAGAAGAGAGAAAATAGAGAGAAGAAAAAATTGAAGAGAAAATATTATCACCTCTCATATTTGAATGGACAAGAGAAAACAGAAAAAAAGAAAATGAGTAAATATATGAATGATTAAAATACTCCTTCTATTTTATCAAAATATATCTTGATTAAAATCAAATTAAATATCATTATAAAAAACCATACTTACATTAACATAATCATATAATTTTAATATCAAATAATTTTGTAAAAAATAACATTTTGTGTTATTTAATGCTAAAAAAAACCAAAACAACAACTTTACTTGTTTTTCCTTTCAATTCATTTTAGAAGGATTTTTGTTATTTTATTTATTTTATTTTTCAATCAAGCAAACATAGAAGAAAGACTTGATAATAATAAATAAAGTGAAAAATGTAAAAAAAAAAGGTATTATTTTGTTGAAAAAATATATGCAAGGACAGAAAACAAAAATATGTTTCTTCTCATTTCTCTCCATATATGAAAAGAAAAGTTACTTTTCTTTCCTCCTATTTTTCTTCCTTTATCCAAACAGGAAAAAAACCACTTCTCTCCCCATTTTCCTTCCTAGTTTTCCTTCCCCTCTCATTTTATTTCCATCCAAACATAGCATAAGGCTGTATTTGGATTAGCGGTGACAAAACTGACTCTTATTTCATTTGACTTTTGTAAACGTGAGTTGGAGTAAAAGTTAGTTAATATAATATGATTTATGTTTGGATTAACATTTATAAAAAGTCAGTTTGAAAAGTTAATTGTTTGAATGATTAATAGAAAAATAAGTTTAGATGTAAAATAAATAAAAATGATATGAACTTTATTAAATAGTAACATTTTATATTATACGTTTTTAGTGCGATAATAGTTAAAAAAATAAATAAAATTATAATTATAAAATAAAAATATTATATGTATATAATGTAATAATTCTAAAAAATATTAAAATTAAAATTAGACACATAAAATAGTAAATATTTTATTGGAAAAATTGTAAATACTAAAAAAATTATTTTAATAAAAATTATATGAAATAAGTAATGTAAGGTAATAAGATAATATAACAACAAATAAAATGAATAAATAAACATATACAAGTATCAAATCTACAGGCGCATTGATAGGAAATAGGACGTACGAAAATGAGGACAACGAAGAAACATGAGGAGTAAAGACAACAATGGAAGAACAAATAAAAAAGGAAAAATTAATTTTTCAGTCGTCTAACTTTTTAACTCACTTATAACTCAATCTCTCAATTATAACTCGGTACAATTCAGTCCTTAACTTTGACCGGATTATCACTCGGTCCCTCGTCGGTTCACTTTTTATATTATCATCTTTTTCATCTCTAACTCAATCCTACACGGCAAAAAACCCTTCAAACTTTTTCCAACTCAGTGCCACCTAGATTTTTTTTTTGGGTAAAGTTTAAATTAAACAAAAAAGAAAGGGCTGGAGAGGATGAAAATCGTAGAGACTCCACCACCATCCTTCGCATCAAAACCCATACCTCGCCGGCGTCTTTGTGGTCTCCAGATAACAAGACAGCCATCTTCCCAATTTCTTCCCATTTTCTTCGATCCTCAGATAACAAATAATGTACACTGGTTTTCTTTAATTGCTAATATATAGGTCATGCTGGCAATTCAAGTGACGACGCCATCGGTGTCGTAGGATTGAGTCCTAATCCAAACAAAGGATTTAATTTTTTTAATGGTTGTCTTGACCACTCTAAGAGCGAAGTCCATGATTGATAACCACAACACAGCTCCCTTCTTGAAAATTGCAGAGACCCAACAATGTTGATCTTCACCGGAATGGAAGAGGAGGGCGATACATCACTGTGAGATTTGGGATGACTGGGCGATCCTCCCCAGGCCCTTTTCTTTTTTTTTTTTGTAATTTAAACTTTATCCAAAAAAAAATTCTAGGTGACACTGAGTTGGAAAAAGTTTGAAGGATCTCTCACCATGCAAGGCTGAGTTAGAGGTGAAAAGAATAATAATGTAAAAAAGTGAATAGACGAGGGATTAAGTCATAATCGAATCAAAAATTCAAGAATTGAGTTGCATCGAGTTATAGTTAAGAGACTAAGTTATAAACGAGTTAAAAGTTAAAAGATTAAAATATTAATTTCCCTAATAAAAAAATAGAGAAAAAGCAATCAAAAGTGGTGTTGAAAAAACAATTATTTTTGGGCATAAGCGTTTTTCTCTATGCTACCAGCAACCCAAACGTGCTCTAGTTCATCCACAAATTTCTGTTTCATCAATTCCAATACATATTTCTCCTTCCAACAACAATCCAAACCAGTGCAATATGTATAATGAATAAAAATATTTTAAAAAAAATTATAAATATGAGAGACAAGTTAATTAAGATCTTATAATAAAATCTAAATTCAAACTCCTAACTGGTTTTTATATTAAAAATTAGAGGTAGTATAAAACTTCTCAACTAATTAACGAACCTCTTTTAATTATTAACTTTTATTGATGATAGTTTTCATATTTTACAAAAAAATAATTTTACTTAATTTCTTAACTAATTAACTAGACTCTTTTAATTATTAACTTTTATTGATGATAGTTTTAATATTTTACAAAAAAAATTTTACTTAAGTTCATCAATTTATGCAAAATTGTTATTAGGTGTTTATAATTAGAATCAGAAATTGTCCCCAACAAAGCTCTTCGCCTACAGGATTGGCTCTTTCAAGGAAGACAGTGCAAAATGACAAGACTCCCTAGGCTGTGATGAATCCAAGGCACTTGAAACTGGTGGAAAGAAAGGATTGCCATACAAGGATAGCGTCAATGTGCTTGTTTGGAAGTGAAAGGAAGTTTGAAATAGAAGCAACACCAATCAAAATGTGGTGTGATAATAGTCTGGCAGCCTTAAAAGTCCTCAGTAACCCTATTTAACATGATCAAACAAAATATGTTAAAACTGATCGTCATTTTATTACAAAGAAAATTGAAATTAAGGTGATAGACCTGGCCTATATCTCTTTTGAGAAGTTAAAAATATGATGACTAAACTCTTTTTTGAGCTAAATTTGATGAATTTACTAGCAAAATGAGAATCATCAATATCAAATAAAAAAGTTTGATGAGGTGGAGTGATGGAAGTAGGCTAATCTCTAATAAGTCCAGTTACAACTAATCCTTTTCTTATTTTCTAAGCAGTCACAAATCATTATCATAATAATGTTTTCATCCTTCCATGATGTTAGGGGAGAACATGCATTTTTTAGGTGAAACATTCTAGTTTCCTTATAAGTATGGTATGGAAATCTAACTCAATTTGGCAAGTTAGACATGTGAACCAATGAATTAGTTCTCTGATGGATCTAGCTAAGAAATTTTTATCAGCTGATCAAGTTGAATTTTATATATTTTTTCTTTCATTGTTAAGCTATTTATGTTTTTTAACTTTTTTTTTATTGAGTTATGCGTAATTTATATTCAAATATTTTATTTAATTGTGAATTAATTTTCTTTTAAGTTTAGATATTACTCTTTTTGGAATTATATTTACAGTTTTTGTATATTTTAATTAAATTAAATTATTTACACCCATGTGAACCGTTGTCTCCCCAGATTATTTTTTCAGTGCATTGCTTATAAGTAACACAGTTAAGTGACCAAAGTTATTTTTAAAACTAATTTCAAATTTTAAAAGAAATTTTAACAATTTCAAATTAAATTGGGTTAAGATGCGCCACTATTTTCCCATATGCGTCCGGTCTCGATCGACGGGAGACGAGCGACCGGTGAAAAACATTGTTCTGCATATGAAGCTCCCGAGATGAGCTCGGTGGCTGCGGGTGTTTTCTTGGAAGGCAAAGTGATTAAGGGGAAGTTTACTGTGTTCTATGCGAAGGAAAGCATATGCAAGTTGGATGAGGAGTTGACAGAGACGAAAGTGTGCTGTGACGGTGGTTGCAGTTTCAAATCAGAGTGGTGGGAGAAATGGGATAAAAGGGGTGTTTGGATATAACCAAACCATGGTTTGGAGAATAGCTTCTGGAGAATAGATTCTGGAGAGAATATATTTTTTGAAGAATAGATTTTGTGAAAAAGTGATTCTGAGAAGTGAGAGTATTTGGATAGTTGTTACCAGAAGCACTTTTTACATGTACAAATTACCAAAAAAAGCATAAGTTAATATGATAATTACAGAAAAAATATATTTTATGATATATTTTAATTAGAAGGAATAAAATTGTTAATAATATATTTTTTATTAACATAATTAAGAATACATAAGATAATATAATTAATAAATAATTAATATGTATATATATTTATAAGATATAAGATAAAATATATTTATAAAAAAATATGTTTATAAAAAAAACAACAAGATACATATCCTATAGGCTCTCACACTTTCTCTTTTTTTTTCCAAAAGCAAAAATTTTTTGTTTTTCCCAAAACCATGGTTTTGGTTTTTTAAAGGGTGTTTGGGTGATTTTTTCCCAAACCATGGTTTGGGTTATCACCCAAACACCCCCAAAATGTTAAAGACAAGAATGGAACTAAATCAATGGTACATATACCAGGATTTAAGAGGATGAATCGGTGGTCTTTCTTTTTTTTTAAGTTTAAATTTAAAAATTGACAAAACATAAATGTCAGAAGAAGAGAAAATAAATTGAATATTCAGTCAGAATAATACACATGAGATGCTTATGTGTTTTTCATGTAGGATTTTTAGGTCAATTTTAAGCTGAGCCAACAAGCCAATGGTTAAACATAATATTTTTGTTAACCTGGATATGGATGTACTGTTCTAATTGGTTTACGACAGTGAATGCATTGAAATTACTTTAGAACATTGGGCGTGTTTGGAAAAATTGTTCGGAGTGTTGGGCGCACTTTAATCTAATTAAATTCATACGGATAATTTGCCTTTTTAGTTTGGAGAGAGATAAAAGAGAATTAGTTTTGCAAGCATGAAGAACCGATTCAGGATAACACGGAGGAGCAACTGGAAAGAGCCATTTTGCGCTCCTCGGCAGCCATGCTTATGGTATCGTCTGCTTCCTGTTTCCTACTGAAGCCATCTTTCCCCGCTGGTCAAAAACAGAAGCCATCTTTCCCCTGTACGTCTCCCTCCCTCCCTCTCTCTCTCTCTCTCACACACCACCCCCCCCCCCCCGCCACACACAGCCGCAATTTCACTGGCTTTCATTTTGTTCCTGGGGAATGGGAATTCTTATTCTTCTAACGTTCGTATTCGTCTTTGATTTTAATTTGTATCCATGTTGAGCCACTTGTTGCTCCCTTTTATCACATTCCACCATGTTTAACTATCAACTCTCTAACAGCGTACCATAAGTGATACTGTATCAGTATTATTAGACTGTTTTCTCTTTGTGAGTTAAGGGTTTGCCTCCAAATTTTGGCCGAAGTAACTGGCAGTGCATTATTCAGCAATGTATCAAATTTAGGAAACGCATCTTTCCGTTCGGATGATATGGCTTTTGCTTCTCAGCTTCCAATGTGAGGAGGAAAAATTATGTGGATTAGCTAGATACCTTGAACTAGTTGGAGCTCGTAGTTTTTCTGCAAGGTTCTTGAATTTATCGAGTGGCAAATTAAGGAATGAGTTTCCCTTTGGGAACTTCTTGAGTATGGCTTTTAATTTTCTTGCAGCAATCTTCTTTTGTTCCACGCAAAGAACTTTCTTTTCTCAAAGGAAACAACTGACTCATGGCTGCACAAATCAGATTTCCAAAGATAACCCGTAAGAGTCTTACCAGTTGACCGACAGCTTTTCTGTGAAATTTCATGAAAGAACCATTTAGCTTCTTGGGTTTCTTGTGATTAATAATATCTGTATGGATAGAGTGCAGGGTAGTGGCATATTAAATGCCAACGAAACATTGAGGCGGAGATTCCTGCTTGCTGTTTTCGTCACAACTAGTTTTTTTCCAAGTTTATCTTCTTACGGGAAGACAAAGAGTAAGAACCCGTTTGATGAGAAACGCTTGCTAGAACAAAATAAGCGGGTACAGAAAGAAAATAATGCACCTGACGACTTCCCAAATTTTGTTAGAGAAGGTATCAATTCTACTAAATCTATCTCTTTAAAAGTCTACTGGTATGATAATGATATTTTTGTATGTGCCCTAGCCAGTGGGTGGTATATAATCTCATGTGTACCATTATTTTGTCACAATGTTACTTCCAATGAGTAAAAGGGAATGCTCCACTATTCTGCGCCTTGTGATCTGTTAGATTTTTGTGTCAATACAATGAAACTCAGTGTGAAATACTTATCTCTGAGCCAACACAGTGCAAACTCAGGAGCTTCGTCTGAGATTTGTTAATAATAAATATCTTAAAAGTTAGTTGACATTGATTAATTGGTATGTGTTTCAGGTTTTGAAGTTAAAGTAGTAACATCTGATAACTATGTAAAGCGTGATTCAGGGCTCATATACCGGGACTATGAAGTTGGGAAAGGTGATTGCCCAAAGGATGGTCAGCAGGTTTTTCTTTAAATCTATTGCATCTTCACTAGTTTAATCTCATGTCAAATTCTCTGTCCTTAAAATATCTTAATTGTCTAAATTTTGTAGTCAGAAGTTTTATCAGAAGAACTCAGAAAAAGTTGGCAACAAGCATTGGAATGGGAACTAGAATTATCTTGTAAATTCTGACGGTGGAGACAACTCTATGTATGGTTTTGTAAAATGGAAAAAGGCTTAGTTCCTTTTGATATTAAAAAAATTCCTTGATGCTTAGGAAGGCTGCAAGGCAATTATTATCAATATACACACGTATAGATTATAGAACATATTCTTGATGTTCTCCTAATAGCTTGTACTTTTCACCCAGAAACTTGCTCTTGAGAAACAAACCAATTCAAGTAAAGCAGAGCAAATGTCAAGACAATAGAATCCTTTGTTCTATGTAACAGGAGAATTGTAGATGTAAGAATACATATCCAATCAAATTATGCCAGTAGGCAGCACCTTGCTTCTTTCGGCATTGTTTCAAATGAAGTATTGTCATAACAATCCTCTAATATGGAGCTAGCATGTGATTGGTTCACACATGAAATCAAGAACAGGCATTTATTCAATTGATACATAATAATGGATATATATATATATATATTTTAATTGAATTTGTTAATGACATGGTATTAAATCTTATCTGACCAAGTGGTCATCCTTTCTGCTCTCTGTCTCAATTAAAGATAAGTTTTAGTGGAAGTGATAATTTTTTTTTTGTTTTAATTTGGTTTTGTCTATGTGCTTGCGTGTAAATCATTATGTTAGATTATTAAATTAATTATGAGTCTTCACTTAATAGTTTAAAATTATTAGGCTGAACCAGTCATTGACATATACAATATAAATAGCCATATATCAAGATGATTGACTTTGTTGGGATAAGTAGAGGAATAAAAAAACTGATGACTGATTGTTGTTATTGGTGAGGTATAATGTTTACTAAAATGAATATGATGATAACCGTAAGAAAATAAATAATTTTTTGAAAACCTTTTTCCTGTTAACTGTGCAAACTGTTTTCACTTCACAATGATCATTTTGGAGTTTTGAGATCCTGAAATGAGCCTAACTATATCATATTAGGGTATCAAAAGTCACTTTTACTTCCCACATGTATTGAATGATGAAAGCGCATTCTTCGGGTGTCTTTTATTGATTATTTTCTTAAAAAGGAAATGAAACACAAACAAATATAGGATATTGTATTGAATTTAATGGCATTTTGTTCTGTTCAGATTTGTATATTAAAGTGATTTTCTTTGCATTAGCCAATGCTGTTCTGCTAGATTCCCCCTTCGCTGGCCAAGGAGTGAATCTTCATCACCTTCGGTAAAAAGATCATTGTTTTAGCAATGTTCTGACAATAGTCCTAAATTTTATTACCAAGGGTTTGAAGGATTCCTTTGTTAGGAGATTGACTTGTTGATGAAACTATGATGTTCTTTGGCTTCTTATGTTAGTTCTTTACTATTCTTCCTTAGAAACTATGAAGTAAATACATTTAAAAAATTGAATGGTGTATATGTCGGGTGTTCATATAAATTTAGGATGCAATGCCCAATGTAATACTTAAGATACTTGAGTTTGTTGTGCTGCCACGTACGGATGCTTCCTTAGCATTTGATAAAATACTCCTTTATGTGAAAATTTTAAAGGATCTTTACATGAAATTGTAATTTACTGCATGCTCCCTGTCATTTTTTAAATTGATATTGTTTCTTTTTTCTGTAAGAGATCATGACTTGACGACTAGATAAGATAGTCGGTTGATTAAGGAGGCAATATACGATTTGAATCAATGTCCAATATCAATTTTAGCTGTGCAACTCGAGTTAAATGACAGATTACATTCAGTAATCTGACTAAATATGTTTTGAATAAAGTACAGATCATGCTTTGCAGAGAGGGATAGCACTAAGTGTTATTTTATCTAGCATAAGAGATACATTTAATTTTTCATCATAACCTGCCTTCTAAAGTTTACCACTTATGCAGGTCACTTTTCACTATATTGGCTATAATGAATCTGGACGTCGTATTGACAGCACTTATTTACAGAATTCTCCAGCCAGAATCCGCTTGGGTACGAATGCCTTGGTTCCAGGTCTGAAGTTTATCTTTTTATTTTTTTTTTAATTGACTAAGTTTATCATGTGCTGCTATTGTTACATCATCAGTGACTTTTCCTCCCTCAAGCATTTTGCTACTTTGCAGAAAGTGTTCCAATTTGCCCTAATTTCCCGGTTTTGTATGAAATTAGAAATTTCAATGAGCCAATGAAGTGATTTTGGTTTTCACTCCATACAAAATTAGAGATTTTACGAGGATGTTGAGAATTTGGTTAGGGGAATTTAGGAAAGATGTTGTGTCATGATTCATATTTGGGATCTCTATTTGACAGGAAGGAGTTTTGGTCTCCACTGTAAAGGAAATTTGGAGTCTGGGCCAATAAACTTTGGAATTTTGTTTAGAGGCAGAATTTGGTGGTACTGTGTTGTGTGTCAACTTTGCAATTCTAGTTGGTCACAATAAGGGAAAGAAGGATTCCATCCACAAGATAATAGAAGAACTTGCACTGATGCTAACGTGTTAATGATTTAAACTACATGCTCCCAGAATGCAAACTTCCAAACTACAGGGTACTTGAGTGCAAACAAGACAAAGCATAGGTACTAATGTGTAATTTATCCACCATATTAACTATATAGTGAAGTAAATTCATCCTTTTCCCTTTTTTTTTGTTTTATCTTTTGAAAAACCTGAAAAAGAGTGAAAAAGTTTGAGTGATACACTGACTAATGCAGGATTTGAGGAAGGAATTCGAGATATGAAACCTGGTGGTAAGAGAAGAATTGTCATTCCGCCTGAACTTGGACCGCCGGTTAGTTTTCAAATCTCTCATTTTTCCTTTTTCTCCATTTTTTAACTTGCTGTTTTTTCCTTTTGGTGATGACCATTCTTGGAGTGTGATCCTTGAATTATTACTACGAAATTTGTCATGTGTTTTATGCACACGATATTGTTGAGTATCAGCAGTAAAAGGCTCATAATTTAACTCATACTTGGATCCAGCTGGAAGAGAGAACACGCAAGGAAAGGTGTGCGTGTGTCTATATAGTGGCCCTGGTCTAGAAAATGTGAACTCAAGTGGAGGACTGAGATTTTCGTCAAAAATTATTAGTTTTCAAGTTTCTAGACTTTTTTAAACATTTGACCTATGTTCACACCCCACATAACTCTTACTACCAACCTTGTTTATTTGATAGATATCTTACTTCCAGTATAAGCAAGTATACTGCTGTAGGGAAATTCTGTATACCACAGTTGCTAGGTACATTCTAGATTCCCATTTCAATGATGATCAAATGCAGCATTTTCTGAGAATCAGAATACCTTAAGGATGCAAAGTCGATGTGAAGGGAACAAGGTCTGCATTTTGTGAAATATGATCACCTAAGATCTAGTCCTTTAAGTAGGTTAAATTTTGATCTTATACGGCTCTAAATGCAAATACCAGTAATTTTTCAATTGTTTGATTACACTTGATCCCGTTTAATTGGTAGTAGGAAATAAAGCTATCATTTCCTCACTTTTTTCAAAATTTTTATTACATTCTCATAATCATAACTCAATGTTGTCTATTCTCTTTTTATTACTTTTGTTAAATAAGGACGTATAGGTTTACCAAAAAAAACGACGTATAGGCATTCTTCAGTGGGGTAATAATCAAATAGATTGTGGACAAGGTGAATATTTGATAACCAACTGAATGGTTAGAATTATTTGAGCACTTCAAGAACTTAACTTTGTTTTTATTGTACAAAATGCAACATTTAAACTTGAGTTTATATTCCATAAATTACAATCCTCAATACATTCCATTTATGTTTCAGAAGACGAGTAGCACATCATAAGAAACTTACCTTGTATTTAAATGTAATATGAAATCTCATATTGTGGTGTGCAGGTAGGACCTTCGACATTTTTCAGCTCAAAACAATTTGAGGTTTTTGATGTTGAATTACTAAGTATACAAAACTGTGAAAGGAGGACCATAGCCTTTTACTCTGATGTTGTATGCAATTAGGATGAAATGCTTTTTCTGATGAGGCAAGTCTCCACTCTGGAGGAACCTGACTATATCAGAACAAATCCTCATTTACCATTTACAGTGCGCCTTCTATTTGTTTTGTCTTGTTTTGTTCTTACCAAATATTTCTGTTGTAAATTTTAAACACATGAAACAAGCTGGAAATTTAGAGCTTGATGGGAGAGAGAAACACAGGCCAGAAATGATTTGCCAAAATTAATTATGACATTGAAAATTTGACAATAGTAGCTTATAATATAAATATGATTTTGAGTTCATAACTGATTTTGATATGTATGAAGGAGTTTGGTAGTTTATGAGATAACCATAATTTTAGATACATAATTAACTGTGGCATATATAAGGGTGTTTGTTTTTGGGTTCATAATTGATTTTAGCATATATACGAGTATTTGGGTCTTTTCCAAGAAAATCATGATTTTGACTCTTATAGTCATTGCCGATTTGGACTGAATTTGTAATTAACCAATTATATACAGCAAAATATTGGTTTTGTTAAAAATGGTCCAAATCCCTCTCGTAATGCTAAAATTTGTTTTTGATGTAAGCCATAAGCTATTCAAAAGGACTTCTGATAATCAATTGTTATAAAACAATTTTGTAAATCATAATTTAATAAGATTTATTTTATAAATCTAATTTAACCAAAATCGGTTCTTCTCACCCATAGTCGTGAAGTTGATCATTTGAGGGTATTGAAAATGTTGACCATGTTCGGACTTCTAGAAGTAATCGGATGAAGGGACGTAATACTCTTATATAATAACTAATGCTTCTGGTTTTGTTATCTGGTTTTTGTTTTGCACCTTGTCAACTGCATGCAGAAGTCTTGGTTCTTCTCCATGATATGTGGTTGATGGTAGCGATATGGCTGGTGTGAAGTAGTGGTTTTTTTTTTTTTTTTAATAACTCATATTATCATTAAGTCAATTTGGACTTTAGATTAATTTATGTTGGGTTGGAAGTTTTAAAGTTAAAGCTATCTCAACAAGTGCGTTTTTTGAGGTTCGAAGTCGTGTTCTGCCCCTTATGGAATGAGCCTGCTATCATCTTAACAAACAACTTGTTGGTAGTGGTGCTTTATTTTGTGTTTAGACTTCAAGTCTTAGTTTGGTTTTTTTTTTAAAAATAAATATCTTTTTATTATAGGCAATCCTCTTCAACATATTGAGGGATACTAAATGTAAGTATATCTTTCAACGAGAATTTGAATTTTCATTCATCATGTTGTGAAAGATTAGTTCTTTTTACTAGATCTTGGTTTTGTTTCTAAGGCATTTGTTTTATCTCGGGATGAGTTGTTTGTATTGTTCATTTTGCATTGGGTTAATGTGTCATGTATTGGTTACATGAACCTGTAAAAGCCGAATATTTTTTTTAAGTATCTTTTTATTTGTGTTTGAATGGAGAAGAAGAATGAGACGTGCTTCCATTACAAAAAAAAAAAAAAAACTAATATGCGTTAACTTACCAAAAGAGAAAAATAATAATACTACTTCTAGTCTTTAATGTAAGAACTAGTTAATGGTCATAAATATAAAAGTAAGTTGTTGGTCCTAAATATAAGACATGAATCCATTTTATCTTTCAAATTTATAATGTATGTGTTTTCAAAACTATCCTTATTGGTTGTAAGGTATTTTCACCCAAATATAGTTCCAATATACATGATTAAATAAAAGTAATTTAGGAAAGTCAGCACACATTTGTTACAAATAACTAACTTGACTAATTTTTTTAATTTTTTCAAATTAGTTGTCTAGTTTTTATATTAGGGAATGGAGATAGTATTAAGCAATGACTAACGATTATAAACCAATAATAGGCGTTGCATAATATCTTCTTTTTGCTTTTTCCACTCCCAACCTTTCAATGCTTTACAAAAATTAGGTCAGCCAAATTAACTAGTAATAGATTACCCAAAAAAAAAAGAAATTAACCAGTAATAGAAACATACATAAACACGCTGAAGGTAAGTGAGACCCACTCAACATGCTTAATGACTCTAAATGATTACGTTAGGCTTCGTTTTTTTTTTTTTTTATAAAGAAAAGCCAAACCTACACTTCTCTACAAAATGTCTCATCCACCATAAACACTCTAAAAAATGGGGGATAAAATAATTTCCTAGGTAGCTATACTTTTTCCAACTTCTTAATTTGGTATTTATATTATTTTATCTCTTTATTATATTCTTTAATTTTGCTCTATTAGCATCATAAGCTCTATAATTTTACTTTTTCTTTTTTTGTGCTAAATATAAGTATCTTCTTGTGAGAGGTAATTCTCTTCAAGGTAATATTGGGCATTAAATGTGAGCACTTCTTCTAACACTCTATAACTTTACTTTGTTAGCATTGTTAGTCATTATATATGGGATAACTATGCTAATATAACGTGTATAAAAGAAATGCTAATATAACAAAATTAAAGAATTTAGTAGAGGAAAAAATTACGGATATTTGCAAAATGATTTTCCTAGAAAGATATACACCAAACTAAAATTCATCATGTTTTCACCATAGGTGCCCTAAAATAAATGGCGTTCTCTTGAGCACCAGGGTTAGCATGATTCATCCTAAGCCACAATAGAAAGAAGGGATTGTGGGTAAAATTAATTTGTCAAATAGAGTTTCTTGAATTATGATATATAAAATTGATTTCTAATGACTGATTATTAGAAATTTCTTTGAACAACTTACAACTAAGCCAAAATGTAGAATAATTTGCCCAGAAAACTTATTTTATTTAAAGACAAATGTTACATATATAGAGATGATAATCGTAGGTTTCCTAATGGTAATATGATGGCTTCTGATTACACAAAATCAAAATCAAATCAAACTAAATCATTAAATCCTAATGATAACAGCCGAAATCTATAGATAATAAATATTAAACACTACTTTAAATATTAAACTCTAACCGGGCTTAAGGCCCAAACTCAAAGCAACACCCACCTTCAAGTTGGCGAATAGATATCTATCATTTCCAACTTGCTTCTGGAATCTTCAATATGAGGTATAAGTAAAGCCTCAGTGAATAGATCCCCTACTTGACAATGTGCTGGAACATGAAATATTTCTATAATTCTAGCTTTTTCTTTCTTTTTGATAAAGTGTTTACCAATGTTCATGTGCTTTGTTTGTTCGTGGTGAATAGGATTTCTTATCATCCCTCAAGTTGACATGTTCTAACGCTTTACTTGGATTAGAGTGTTTGGTGTAAGCCTTAATTCTTTTAGTGCTCTTATGATCCATAATCCATCACACATACCATGCTCTAGGGAGGGATGTGCAGACTGAGAAAACTTGGTATGGTCCAACTCAAAAACAAGTAGCCCGAACAAGAAATCAGACCAGACCAGACTGGATTAGACATCAAGTCAGACCGAATTTCAGGCTAATGCTCTAGACAAGATGGTTTGGTCTGATTCGATGCCTACAATTTCTTATTGAAAAATCTATATTTTCCTTTTACCAAATCCTAAACCTCCCCCCTTTTTTTTTTTTAACTTCCCCTTTGGCCTCCTTCTTCTCTCCTATATCATTTTCCTATTTCCCCTCTACTCTCACACTCTCTATCGTTGCTCCATCACATCGTCGTGGTTACTCCCCTTTCACCTCCTTTTCACAATAACATTGGTTCTCTCTTTCATTCCTTATTGCTCCATCATGAACTTGAAGGCTCCTGTTAGTGGCAGTTTCACCTAAGAGGGGGGTGAATTGGGTGAGTTATAAAATTTACGAATTAAAAAACAGTAAGCTAAACAAAAACAGAGAGTGTAAGTCAGAGCGATTTCACCGTAGAGAGTAGACACAGAATTTATACTGGTTCAGTCTCAACTACTTGACCTACGTCTAGTCCTCAGAACACCTCTAAATATTTCACTAAGTTCCAAGATTAATCGGGCTCTTGGTGTCGCAGTACAGCAATTGATTTGCTCAATCACTTCCCCTTACTACCCATAAGGTTACAGACCCACTCAAGAGTCCACACTCTTAAGTTTCACTCAGAAGGTGATTAAAGACGATATGTAAAACTCTCTCACAGAGTAAGTGGATGAGAAACACTGAAGTTCAGTACAAACAAGAACAGAGTATTGAATGCAACAGTAAGTTATTTGCAGAAGGTAGCTCGTGTATTCAATTCCCTGCATTCAATGCTTCTTGGCGCCTTTTATAGTTAAGGAAGTTTAATAACCGTTAGACGAAAGAGCTTCTAGCCGTTGAGAGTTCGGTTGCGTGTTTTTTCAGTTGCAACGGTATTTACCATTTAATGCTTCTGACATGGTAGGCTACATGCTACTGAATAACCATTGGATGACCATTGAACTTTCTTTGTAATCTGTAGAAATACTTTAATCTAATAAGTTTTTCCTCCAGAATGATATTCAGGAATATAACTAATAAAATGATAGTAATATTCTTATGTTGAGAGAGAAGTAAATCAATCAAACATCAGATTCAATAACTTGAAACTGAACAACCTTGATCGAAGATATGATTGATAACTGGTTTATCGATTATGTTATCGATTAATAAAGATGAAAGATTTTGGGACAGATAACTATATAAATGATCGATCCAGTGATCGATAAATGGACAGATTAACTTCGGAGAGAATATGCAGAAAAAAATAGCTCAAGGTCATCTATGATTTTGAAACCCTTAAAATAGAATATTAAGATAATCATCAAGGCTGAGAAAAGCTCGAAGAGAAATATTCAGAATATTCTTAAATCTCACTGTTGCCTCTGTTATGAAAAGAGCTGGATTATTGATCGAGTAAGTGATCAGAAAATATTTGATCGATCAATTTATCGATAAAGGTAAGTAAGAGAGAATTTATTTTCAAAGTATATTGATCGAATAATTTATCAATAAATGGATGATAGGAAAGTTGATCAATAAAACGCAATTTCACAAAGATTTCCATAAAGAGCATAAATCCTAAATTGATCGAGTAAGTGATCGATCAGAGACTTATCAATCAGGTAATTGATAATGATGTAGTGGAGAAGTGCAGTTCAAAAATCCCAAAAGCAAGTTTGATCGATCATGTTATGTGAAAACAGAATATTCAGTGGAGCGGATGATTGATCATTTTATCAATAAATTGATGATCGATCAAGTGATCAAAGAAAGTCTTAAATAGTTTAAATAAGAGAAAATGTGATGATCGATCATTTGATCGATCAGGTGATCGATAAAGTAATTTTCAAAAGCACTTAACCAGAAGAAAAATATCGATAA